CTTTCCCTCGAGCTGGTGTCTTTCTCACAATTAAGTAAGAACCCCCCTCGGGATGGCCGACAGTCGCAGCGGCATTTCTTCTTGCAAGCTGCCAGCACTCGCGACCGTGGCAACTCCCTCGGAAAGGGGAGCTTCCTATTCCGCGCGCCACTGTTGGCGCGCAACTTTGCAGCACCGTTGAGGCTGAATTCGATGATCGAGGCCTGCGTGCTCCCTGCCTGGGCCAGGGTCGGGCGGGCTCCCGTCCAGCGAAGGTCAGCCTGGCCTGCCCGATGTTCCGAGCGGCTCCAAGCCTGAACCCGCATATCGAACATCGCACTCTCGGTCTTGATCACTTGCTGCTTGGATTGACGATCGCTCCGAACAAGAGGCGAATCAGTCATTGAAGATTCGGATGTTGCCCCCTGTCTTCAAGAGGATTGCTGGGGAAGCGCGGAGCTTTGCGCGCGACGAGCTATGGTAGCCTGCGGGGAGGGCACCGAACATACAGCCCGCGATGTCCCTCTCATTCGGGTGAATCATGGCAGCTCCCCAGCCGCACCTTCTGAACCTCCAATCATGAGTGCGATCCCCCAGACGCCCCTTCCCTTGGATAACGCCGCCCTCCCTGAGGGCTCCACTGCCTGAGGGGCAGGGGGAACACTCGCGGTCTGTTCCAGGGGCATCAACCCACTGAGCCCGCGGAAGGGGTGGCCATCGTTTTTTTCGACCGCCGTCGGGGCACGACGCGCAGTGGCCCGCGCGGCCTGGTATCCAGTTGGTCAGTGGCACAATGCTGCCAGAACCTGTGAAGAGGCGTCTCAGGCTCCTCCATGCGCATCGGGCAAAGCTGCGGCGCGCGGTATGCGGCCTCATGCAGCCGAGCCTCAGTCCCAAATCCACTGGCTAAGGTGGTCCTCAAACTGGCCTGCGACTCGTAGTCCAGGTTCTCACAGAGGTTTTTCAGCAGTCTTTGCGGGACAGTGAAATCAACCCTTGCCTGGGCCCCTTCCCCAAATGATGGCCCGACGCCTTGCCCCAGGCCCGCTCAGCACTAAATGGGGCTTGCACAGATGAATACGAACATCAAGGGCATCCAGGGACAGTGCATATCCAAACTCATCGAGCCAAAGACATGGGGAAACATGGTCCCGCTGCAAATCTAGCAGGACAGCGACGGTGTCAACGACGGGGCCTTTCACTCTTCCGCCATCGACAGTTGGCGGGGATGTCATCAAACATGGCAGCGGCGGTCCTCCAGACCGGAGAGACCTTCATCTTCCCATGCAGGCACAAAGCCAGCCGCATCTTTCAAAACGCGACCAAGACTTCGAAACGCGATCGGAGCACGGCTTCCCCGCTGGTGCTGCACAGCAGGGACAGCACCGCGGTGGAGCAGGCCCCGGGGGTTCACCGCCCTGAACCACTGCGCAGCCTGGCACCCGAAGCCCTGAGCCTGATGTCGCGAGGGCCCGAGGGCTCGGTGGCCCCAGGGTCCCTCCGCGAGCACCCCTGGTCATGCAGTTTGGCCGCCCCCCGATACACCTCCTCCTCCTCCTCCTCCTCCTCCTCCTCCTCCTTTTCCTCCTCCTCCTCCCCCTCCTCCTCCCCCTCTTCCTTCTCTTGGACAAAGAATGCGCGTTGGCAGCTCTCCTTCGAGGTTCAGGCCTCCGTCTGCTCGCCGCAGTTGCCTTCCGCCGACGTCCCGCCGTGATGGTGGGCCAGAGATCCCGAGCGTCAGCCAGGAGCTGGATGGGAAGGCCTGCTGCGCGGAGGCTGCTGGCGATGCGCTCGCCTGCAGTCTTCAGCGTTTTATGTTGAAGTCTCCAATCGTCGGCCAGGGAATCGCCCGGGCCCGAACAAACTCAGAGATGCCGCTCATCTTGGACACATTCTCACCCGACACCCCTTGGCCAGAGACAAAATAACATACCTCAGTGGCCATCGTGGCCAGCTTGGTTTTCAACGCGATCAACATCCGACAGTTGCCCGATCCCACGTCAGTGACTGTGGGCCAGCATCTTTTAAATACAGGTTCTTGCGGACCATGAGTCCCGCTCCCCAGTGCGCCCCACCCCCGCCAGTTGGAGCTCTGGCTTGGAAATGCGGCCGACAATTCATAGCAGCGCACTCCAGCTTGGCCGCTGGAAGGGCAAGAGCCAGCAGGCGGCGCTCGCAGAAATGGAAAGCACCAGCCACCTTGCGGATTTGGGGCGCAAAATCCTTGGCGATCCCAGACCAGGAAGTAATGTTGCAGAACGCGAGCTCGACCCTGTTGCCCATCTTGCGCGCGTCCTGCGATGATCCCTCCACGACTCGCCGACCGCCGCCAGGGTACTTCAGCGCGCCAGCACTGCGACCCAAACTGCGGGGCCACGGGCATGGGCGCCGCTGCAGCTGACAACGCCTCCTTGAACTGCTGATTGAAACTTTCTCGAGCCGCTTTGAGCGTCTCGACCGCCTTGGCCTTGGCCTTCCCCCACAGAAGCTTCTGGAGGCGCTCATGATCCTCATTGGTAAGGATATGTTCTTGCCCCCGTTCCCGAAGTGCATGCAGCTCTATATTCTCGGCAACGTCGCCAAGGTCGTTGACCTCGCCCCCCGCGTCGGACATGATCTCATCGGGGCCGGACTGGTGGGCCCTCTCGTGCACGGCGCGGAAGGCTTCCCACAACTCACGCGAGGCCTTCTTCTCAGCGCACCAAGCCCGAATTGCTTCAGCTGACATGGTAGCCAGATCAGGTGGTTTCATCGGGGGTCCATCAGCCGCTCGAGCGCCTGGCCCATGGGCATCGCGGCATCTCCATCTGGCGCATCGTGGGGGGCGCCCGCAGGGGGAGGAGCGCGTCGGGGAGCAGGAGCTCCACCCCTGGCGTCAGCTGCGGCGGGCGCGGCCGGCAGCTTCCGCTGTCGCCCCTCGGCCGATCGGGCCTCCGCCACCTTTGCCGCCTTCCGCTGCTCAGGGTTGTAGTCGCGAAGGGTGCGGTCAGCCGGTCCCGCTCCGTTTCCGCCTTCTCCTGGGCAGATGTTGCCGAAAATAATTGTTCCGTCGCCTCGTCCAAATGCTCAAGGATCTGGTTGATCTTCGTTCTCTTCTGTTCCACATCCTGCAGACGCAACCGCGCTTTGCGAGCCGCCTCTTCTGCCACTTTTGCATGGCTGTTCTTCTCCGCGCTTGCGGCCGCGACCATCTGGGCTGCCGAGAGGGCGGGGGCGGGCTCACCCTGCACGATGGGCTCCGCTGCCTGGACTTGCAGCTCAGGTCCAAGCGCCAGAACTTCGACTGCAGCTTCGCGCAGCTCGGGATGGACATCACCAGCATCTCCTCCAGCGTCGCCTTCTAGGACAGGTCGGGCTTCACCGCGCACTTGACTGCGGTAAGCCCCATGGCATTTCGAGCCCTCAATGCGTCCATGAAGGTGACTATTCCAAGTGGCCGCAGAATGCACAAGCCTCGTACCACGAGTGGTTCTCCTCCTGCTTATTGCCACCTCTGTCCTGGCCTCCAGTCTCGCCGTCGGCCTGGGGCACCCAGGTTCCCTTGGTATTCCCCTTCCAGCCAGGACGACGTTCGCCGCCACGATGCCAAGGATCAGCGCCCTTCGCCATGGGATATTGGGTCGCGCTCGGGACGCCTGGAACGGGAAGCACCAGATTTCAAGAAGTCTTGCCCGCCGCGGACCAGCAGCATCCACGTGTTCTCCTGCGGAATAACGCATGTTGGACCAACCTGGCTACGGGAGTGTCGAAGGAGGAGGAGGAGAAGGAGGATGACAAGGAAGGAAGGACGGAAGGGAGAACGCCGCCCGCCTCTGCTTACGCCACTCTCCTCTCTCCCTTGTTCCTGTCTGGAATATGCTCAGCTCTTTCCGCGCATCAGGGAGCAGACAACATGGTACATATTTTTGCTGTATGAAATCAATCCGATGGGTTTCGGTGCTTCAAACTGGCGGTCCCGCTGCAGCTTGGGCCTCGTGTTCGAAACGGCGTTTCGCTCCCGTCGTTCAACATGGCGTTCTCGCTCCAGCGCGGGGCACTTTTCTGGAAGCGAGTCCTATTTTCATCCGTGTCGCTCCCTCCATTTCCCCTCCGCCGCCTTCACCTGCTTTTCCTGCGCCTCCCGCTCCTTCCACTCAAGCTGCTGCTGCTGCTGCTGCTGCTGCTGTTCGTCCTCGTCCCCTCCGTCCTCCTCCTCCTCCTCCTCCTCCTCCTCCTCCTCCTCCTCCTCCTCCTCGTCCTCCTCCTCGTCATCCTCCTCGTCCTCCTCCTCCTCCTCATCCTCCTCCTCCGCCTCCTCCTCCTCCTCTCCCTCCTCTCATCATCCTGCGCATAACGCGATGGGGTCATATTTAGATTTCTAGGTCAGGCATGACGCGCGTCGGCGGATGGAGAAGAACAACGCATTGTGAATGTATTGGCGGCAGGTGCGCACCTAGCCTGTCCCCTCCCGTCTTCCTTCTACTCCGCCTCCTCCTCCTCCTCCGCCTCAGTATTGTGAGGCGTTTTCGAGCTGGTGTCCTGGCCCGCGCTCCTTTCCGAACTTTGCGTGTGCTCTTTCTGCTACGAGTGGGATACTCTTGACTCGGCCGCCCCTCCATTGCCAAGATGCCGAAGCAAGGGTCACTCTGGGTTCAGGAAGGTCGTTGGTTCTCGGGCAGGCCGTTCCGTAGAGCATGGTCGGGGAATCCACCCGTGGCCGAGGAAGGCTAGCCGTGGCCATAAGATCCCTTTCGTTCCTCATTCAGTGTTCCTAGTGTAATGCGATGCCGGTATGGACCCCGAACCTCCGCCTGCTCCTCCTCTTCCTCCTCCTTCTCCCCGCCTCCTCCTTATCCTCCTCCTTATCCGCATCCTCGTCCTCCTCCTTCCCCTGCTCCTCCCTCTCCCCCTGCGTCCCCCCCTCATCCTCCTTCTCCTCCTCCGTCTCCTCCGTCTCCTCCGTCTCCTCCTCCTCCTCCTCTTCCGCCTTCTCCTCCTCCGCCTCCTCCTCCTCCTCCGCCTCGCCTGTCATCGCCCTGCAGGTGAAGACCGTTATCGGGTACGGCTCGCCCAACAAGGCCCCGCCAGCCTGGCCACGGGGGGAGGGCGCGGCGGAGAGCGGCGAGGGGCCCCTCTCCTCGCCGCTCCGCCCTCCCGCGCATTCCGCATACGCCCGGGACGAGGCGTGTCAGGCTCCCCGAGCGTCGACGGCAGCGAGAAAGGGGAAGACACGAATGCCCACCCCGACCCAGGGCATAAGTCACCAGCCTGGAGGACCATACTTGAATAGGATCGAGACGAGAGACGCTCCGCCCTCCCTTCGTTCGTGCGAGAGCCAGTCGTGAGAGAGCCAGTCGAGGCAGCGGCATCCCTCCCTGGCGGTTTTTTGGCTTCCGTTCGGCCCCCCAGAAGCTTCTCATCGCCACGGCTGGATCCGCTTTGGATAACAACTCACGATGCACTCTGGAAGGGGTGCCAGGATTGTTTTTCATGAGGATTTGGGCCTGCCAGGAGTGCTGTCGTTGTCTCAATCCGCCCTACGAGGAGCGGTGATTGCCATGCACCACAGGGGTCCCGATGGACAAGGGTCCTGGAAGTTTTTGGCCACTCTCGGCATCCATGGGGGCCCTCCATCGGCCCCAGGGCCGCCACAAGGTGACTCCGAGGATGAAGAGCGGGTCCCGCGGAAGGCCCCTCGGACCAGGACCCCTTCTCCTCAGGACCCCCTCACTGCATGACATCTTCCCTTTCCCCCTCCGCGCCTTCCCCCTCCCCCCTTCCGCTATTGGCTCTCCCCCGCATCAGCGCTGATCTCCCCTCTCGTCCTGATGCTGTCTGGTGTGGGCGCGGGCTCTCCCGAGTGTTTTGTCCCCGAAGGGGCTGGGGCCTGTGTGTTTCTTTTTGCCGCTCAGCCTTTTTTTGAGTTTGTTTTGAAATGGAATGAGACATACCAGCAACCAAGAACAATTGGCGGCTCGGCCCGCCCCTTGGCGCCCTGCTCGGGAAGGGCCAGCGCAGTTTGCAAAAGAGAAAGAGGACGGGGTGCGAGCTCGTTCTTGGCAGATCGAGGGCACTGCGCGCGTGCCCGCTCGGGAAGAGTGCGCCCCGCGCATCGGATCCTCGATCGGTCTCGGGGTCCGCAAGCCTCTTCGTCCTTTCTCTTTTTCTCCCTCTCCTCCTCCTGATCGTCCTCGTCCTCCTCCTCCTCCGCCTCTTGCTCGTCCTCGTGTTCGCGTTCGTCCTCGCGCTCGTGCTCGTCCTCGTGCTCGTCCTTGTGCTCGTCCTCTTCCTCCCCTCCAGGGGGATGAGGCACTCGCAGTCACCAGCGCTTCGGGCGGCCTCGATCGGTCTCGGTTTCCCGTCGCATAAGAGAGGGTCCGCGTGCTTTCTGTAGATTCCCGACAGCTAATGGGCCCCAGCGGCCAGTGAACTGTACACGTGCACCTCGGCGACAGGAGGCCCTAAACAGCATAAGGAACGATAACATAGAGCATTATACGGTAGTCGATATATACATACATCGATACAAATGTATATATACATACATCGACATATACATACATACATACATATATATAAAGAGAAATAAAGAGAGATAAATAAAGAGAGAGAGAGAGAGAGGGGAAAGAGAGAAAGAGAGAGAGAGAGACACACACACAAAAAAGATAGAGAGATGACACTCTGGGCGGAGTTCCGTCCACGGGAACCCGTAGCACTTTGGCCGGCGTTGTCGGCAAAAGGGGGCTCTTCACACCCAGTTGGGCGAACGGCCAGGCGGCCAGACGGCCAGCGGAGGAAAGAGAAGGAGGGGCGAGGAGGACCCTCCACAATCGAGTAGAGGTTGAAGCTGTGACCTTGCATCGCAGTACTCCGAGCTCACCTGATGGGGTTAAGCGAGGCTTGCGCCCGTTTTTGGCAGAACGGTACCTCGCATGACGTTACCTCGCTCGGAGTGGCGGCGTCCATCCAGCACCCCGTCAGGACCCGCAGTGGCGGCAGGCCACACTGGACGCTTGCCAGGCGGCGCACGGGCCTCCATGAGAAGTTTGCTGAGGGCGCCCCTGGCGAGGGGCAGGTGGCCCGAGGTGGACTGGACGTGTTCGAGTGCTCGAGGGGGCTGCCTGGCTTCGATGGCGTCGGCAGGCTGAGCCCTGTGGGGGCAGGGCGCTGCCTGAGGCAGGCCTCCCCCCAGGGAGTGGCAGCCTGATGCTTCCCCGTGCTGCTGCTTCTGACCGTCGTAGGGCCAGGTCTCAACGGCGGGGCGCAGCGGCCATGAGAAGGTTGAGCCGTCTCCGACGCGCCGCGGGTGAAGCGCTGAACAGGGTCACTGTGGGCGCAGGTGGGGCCTCCAAGGGCGCTGCCTGGCACGCCGAGTGCGGCATGCTCCCGTCCGCTCGCTGCAGAGGCGGTGGGGCAGCACGCTTGGGACCTGGGGCCCTCGTGGGGATGTTGCGCCTGGGCCCCTGCGCGGGAAGGGGGCCTGGCGGAAGAGGGCCGTGCCCGAGGCAGGCCGCTCCCAACCCGAGGGGATGCACGATGCAGCCCCGCAACGCTTGGGCCGCTGGGTGCGAGGCGATGGTGATCTGAATGGAGGTCCGCGGTCCCTTGCGGGCGGATGGGGCCGCGGTCGCCCCCTGGCCCCTGGTCTGGGGCCGCCTGCGGCGGGAGGCGGCTTCGGCCGTCGGTAGCGCCACGTCTGCGACCGAGTTGTCGAGAGAGCAGCTCGGGGCGGTGTGGTGGTGGCTGCGCCTCGGCGGCCGTGGCGCTGGCCTGTAGAAGTGCTTGGATGGCCGCCGCCATCTGGTCGGCGGTGCGCGAGGGGGTGGCCCGCGTGCCAGCGTTGGTGGAGCTCTCGCTGGCGCCGCGGTGGCTCACGTCGGATTTGTGGTTGGGGCATCTGTTGCCATATTCCGAGCGGCTGCTGCCTGTCGCGAGGCTGGGACTCGTCAGCAGGGCACTGCGGTCGGGAGAAGGTTGAGACGTCTCCGACGCGCCGATGGATTGCCGCGTCGCCGATGCGCCTGCGCTGCGGCTCGAGATGGAGCTCATTTTCTTCCACGGTGGCGTCGCCGAAAAATCTCTGATGTCGCCGATGCATCGTCGATGCGTCGCCGGCACGTTGTCGAAGTCTAGCCGGTGCGTCGCGCGCCTCCGTCCGTGGGCGCAGGCGGTGCCGAATGCGTCGGCCGTGGCCTATTCACGGTCGCTAGTGCTTGAGGCAGGCCGCTCCCGCCGCGAGGAGTTGCTGTATGCGGTCTCGCGCCGTTTGGGCCGCTGGACTCGAGGTGAAGGTGATCAGAGATGGGGTCCGAAGGCCCTCCGAGGCTGACGGGGTCGCGGTCGCCCTCGGGCCCCTGGGCTGGGGCCGCTTGCGGCGGGAAGCGGCGTCGGCCGTCGGCGGCGCTGCGCATGCGTCCGAGCTGGCGCGGGGGGTCTCGGAGCGGCGTGGTAGTGTTATGGGCAAGCAAGCCGACCACCCCCCTGAGTTATGTTCAGTGCTATGCCCGCGCGTCGCCTATGCCCGGGCCCTGGTTTGCGTGTCTGTCCCGAATCCAGGCCTCCCAGAATTTTGGAATTCGTTGGCGACGCATTGCTGTCCGACGCCGGTGCAACAGCAGCCAGCTCGGCGTTCGCGGCGCATTGTACTTCGACGGTTCACCGACGCACCGACGCGCTGCGTTTCCGCTTCGGTGCAAAGTCATTCGCCGGTGCGCCGTTTCGGGGGGCGCCAGCCGTAATTGAGGTCGAAGGCGCCTCGCGTTGATTGGGGTTTGTGCGCGTCGTGCCATGGAGGGGGCCACGTCGCGTCGCGCGACGCGGCGCCATTTTGCCCCGCCGCGTCGCGCCCCGCACTCCGATGTCGGTTCGCGCCTGTCCTCCTGCCCCTCCCCCTCTCCCTCCCTCCCCCCCTCGTTGAACGCGCTGCGCGTCTGGTCCCGTTTGCGAAATTTTACGTTGCTTTTGTCAGGCTGCCGTCCTCTCCCCCTCCCTGTTCCCCGCCCGTTTTCTTTCCACTCTCCGGAAACTTCCTCCCCGCTCCTCGCTCCCGCCGCCTCCCTTCGATTGCCCCCCATCGCTCCCGCCGCCGCTGCGCCGTCCCCGCTTGCCCCCTCCTCGCCCGTCCGTTCCCTTTTCCCCGCGCCCCCCTCCCGCCTCTCTTCCCCTCATCTTCCTTCCCCCAGTGCATCGGCGGGCGAGACGTCGCCAAGTCGCTGCGTTGATGAATCAATGCTCAAGTTTTGCCGCGCTTCCAGTTGATTCCCCCGCGCGCGGTACATTTCCGCGTCGTCTACTGTTTTTTTCGTGCTCGTAGTTCTCGCGTGCGCGTTTCGTGTTTTGTTTGCGCGATTGTCGCTCGCATGCCTGAGTGCTTCGCTGGCAGACCGTGCAGTTTACGCGCCGTCAAGGTTCACGGTGCCCTGCGAGCATTTCGCGCGCGACCTGCGCGCGACGCACGGACGACCCGAGCGACGCGCGCGCGACGTGCCCCGACCCCCCCGCCGGCGAGCGACGCGCGAGCGACCCGCGCGACGCACGCGCGACGCACGCGCGACGCACGCGCGACGCATGCGCGACGCACTCGCGATCTAGCTTTCCTCCGAGATGCAATGCGCAACGGTGGTCGGCGCGCCGAGCTTGCGCTGTTCGCGGTGGCGGCGGTCGCGTCTTCAATTGCGCCAGGAATGGCAGTGGCTCGCCACTTTTCCTACCCCTCATCCTTCCTGGCCCCCCCTTCGTCATTCCTCCTCCTTCGTCCTCCCTCCTGCCTCATCTCGTTCCCCTCCTCCCGTCCTCCTCCTCCTCCTCCTCCTCCTCTTTCTCCGCCTCCCTCTGCCTCTCCCTCACCCCTCCTCTCTCGTCATTTTCCCCATTCGCCATTCTCCCCCCCCTCTCTCGTCAGTTTTTCCCCCCTGTCTCCCTTTGTTTCCGTTTTTTTGCTCGGCCACCCCCGCCCCGCGGCCGCGGCGCGGGGCCGCGAACGGGGCCCCCGCCGTCGGCGAAGGGCCCCGCCGATGGTGGAGAAAGAGAAGGATTGAGAGGAAGAGGAGAGGGGGGGGGGCAGGGGCGCGAGGCGGCAGGGGCGGCCCGGCGCGGGAAGGGGGGTTGAAGGGGGAGGGCGGGGTGGGTGTTTTTTTTTGTAAAGGTCCTGTTGGTGATCGTGGTCGTGGTCGTGGTTGTCGCCTTGGTCGAGTTGGCGGTGGTCGTGCTGCGGGTGGCGGGCAGACCAGTGGTGGTCGCGTTGGTGATCGTGCTGGTGTCGGTCGTTGTGGTGGGCGCGAGAGTCGTGGAGGTCGTGGGGGTGGTCGCGGTCGCTGGTGGTGGTCGTAATCGTCACGGTGGACGTGGTTGCGGTCGCAGCCGTCGGTGATGGTCGTGGCGGTGACAGTTGTGATGCTGTCCGCGGTCGCGGCGGCTGCGGGGGCCTGCTGGCCAAGCGCCGGAGTGCTATCAGCAGCGCCGCTGCTTTGCGATGTTCGGGGGATCTGCCGACGTCGCCTGGCAGCCACCTTCTCACCGGGGGGGCCGTTGCGAGGGCCCTCGTTCTTTCCCGAAGGCGATTGGCCTTGAAACAAGCGACGCGCGTGCGATCCGCTTCGTGGGTGCCCGCCACGCTGGCGTCCGGCCGGTTCGGTGGCTGACGCACGGGCGACGCATGCGCGACACACCCCTTGTCGCCAAGGGGAGTCAGCGCGCCGGTCGGCTTACTGGACTCTCGCATGTGGTAGGGGCTGTAGCTCTAAATCGCGCACGAATCGCGCAACTATTGCGCGCCAGTCGCGCACTAATAGCAGGCTGGGCGGGAGCGGGATCCGGCGTTCAGGGCGCGCGGAGCGATGCATTAGTTCTTGATGATGTTGCAATAGTTGCGCACACAAGTTTCACGCGATGTTCAAACGAATCCCAATTATTTTGAAATGGGTGGCAGACGGGGCGTTCTGCCCAAGTTCGTGCTGGGCTTCCTCTTCCCTGAAGCGTCAACAAAGTGCGTCGCCCACCGGGGCGCCCAAGGGCATCGCTGCGGGGGTGGCCAGGACGGCCGCCCCCGGGTGGCCCGCGGGCGGACCAGTTTGGGCTATCCCCCAGCACCCCGCCTTCAACAATGGGCGGACCAGCGTGGGCCCCGTGCGGGGCTCGCAAGGGAGGGGCCCCCTCGTTTTCGGGGCCACGCAGGGCCTGGCGGAGTCCAGCAGGGGAGGTCCGCGGGAACATCGGGGTGCCTTTGGAGGGGGCTTCGGGGGATTCTAGAAAAGGCCGCTGGGGAGCAGGCATCTACTCTATCTTGTTCTACTTTACCCTCTTTACTATACAGTGCGCTGGTTCCTTTTCCACCGACTCAGCCTACTCCTATTCGGACAGTGCATCATGTGTTCCGTTGCAACAAATTTTCCCAGTCGGCCTGTCCCTGCTCTATGACAGTCAACTCTAGTACGCACTCCCTGCTCCACTCTAGCCGACTCTTAGTCTACCGTTCGATTTTCTATTTCTTACCCTACATCTGATATGTTTTTTTTCCGCTCTACTGTGCTCTTCTCGACTTAGCTCTGACCTATTCTGCTTTCTGTTGAATTGGACGTTTGCCCTGCGATAGATGGGGCGTCATAGGGGCAGCCAGAGGAGGCTATTGCAACGGCAGAGGAAGCCGCCCTCCTTCGTTCCTTCTTTCCTCCTTCCTCTCACCCCCCTTTTCCCTCCTCTTCCCTCCTCCCTCCCTCCTTCCCTCCCTACCTCCCTCCTCCCTCCTCCTCCTCCTCCTTTTCCTCCTCTTCCTCCATCTCAATGTCCTCTCGTCCTCCTCCTCCTCCTTCTCCATCCTTTCTTTCGTTTTGAATGACTTTTCCCTGTCGCACCCTCCCTCAGGCGTGTCGTTAGGGTGGGCGGGGCGTTTCGCTTGACTTTTTCATTGTGTCTGACCCTGAAGCTTCAATATGATAGCAGCTTCAAGAATGGAGGGTGGGTCCTTTTCAAAATGTGGCTATCGCTGTATTTGGCGCCGCGCACACTCGTGTCCAAACACTGCAGCAGGTTCAAGGATGGAGGGCAGGCGGGTTTCAAAGTGCGGCTCTCGCCTGGGCGGCGCCCACATTTTAAAATATTGCATCAGTTTTCTAATGCTGGAGGGCAGACCATTTTCAAATTGAGACTCTTGCCTTAGTGCCGCGGACGTTCGTCTGACAAGTTTGCTGTAAAGTTTCAAAGTTGGAAGGCGTTCTCTTATCCGAAGATCGAAATCTCAGAAATTGTGGCATGACACGGTTTAGAACTGTCAGGACGCAACAGTCACGTTGATTCGCGGCGTTGATGCCCCAGGGTTGGTGTTTTGGTACGATATTAAGGATTGTCCAGACGCAGCAGTTGTGTGTATGCGCGGCGTTGACGTACCGGGAATTGTGATTGTGACACGGTTGAAGATCCTCAGACGTTTGTCTTTCAGTGGGACCTTTCTCGCAGTGACAATGAATTCTTGTAGAGACCTATGAAGAGGTAATTTGGAGGGAGGATTTTTTGATAACGTCGTTAGTGCGTCTTGGGTTTACACTGGCCCTCCTCCTCCTCCTTCTCCTCCTTCTCCTCCTCCTCCTCCTCCTCATCCCTCCTCTCCCTATAACCCTCCTTCCTCTCGCCCTCCCCGCCTCCTTTCTCCCCCTACTCCTCCTTTCCCCTCCTGCTCCTCCTCCGTCCTCTTCTTGCCTCTTGCCTGCCTGTGGAGGTGGTTAGATTAGGGAATGGGCTGGCCACCTCCACTTGGATTTGTTGTATCTCAGGAGCCAGGGGCGCCACCTGGCCGCGACAGGAGGTGACCAGTCTACTTAACTGGCCAGCTTTTCCGATCAGGGGGGAGTTCGCCCGACTTGAAGGCCCGCAACACCCTTCTCCCATGGTCCGTGAGGCCAGGAGTGCAAGTGTGCCCAAGCTTGAGCAGTTTGCCCTCAGACGGCACACCTGTTCCTCCACAGAGCTGGTACCAAAGAATTCATCTGAAGGCGTCCAGCCTGTCATGGATGTTGGGAGGGCGGCCTGGGCACGGGGATCTACGTACAACCTCTCTCTCTCTCTCTCCCCGATCGTACTGGAAGCAGACAGTGCAGCGCCACGGTGCTCGGGTCGTTTCTTCAATTGAATTCCTCCATCCTTCTCCTCTCTCTCTCTCTCCTCCTCCTCCCTCTCACCCTCCTCCTTCTCACCCTCCTCCCTCTCAGCCTCCTCCTCTCACCCTCCCTCCTTCTTCCATCTAGGGGGAAGGCCTTGAGCGAACGTCCAGAGAGTCCGCCACGTCTAATGCGGCCTCCAGCCCAAATCAAAGATGCGAACAACATCGACAGCACACCGTGGCCTCCAAGGTCCGCCTGCGCAGACGGACGCCTGAGGCGACTATCTGCGCGGGCAATGCAGCGCGATCGCAATGGGGGCAGGAGGAGGAAGAAAGGAGGCGAAAGCTGCAGGCAGGGGCGGCCAGGGGCTTTTGATGGGGGGCGGTCGTCGCGTCGTCGTGGTAGCGGTCGTGATGGTGTCGGTCGTCGCGTCGTCGTGGTGGTGGTCATGTCCTGTCGTGGTGGTCGTGGGGGTTGTCGTGCTGGTGGTTGTTTGGTGGCCACGGCAGTGGTCGCGTCGTCGAGGTGGTGGTCGCGAAGGTGGCCGTGTCTTGTCGTCGGGTGGTCGTGCTGGTGGTCGTGCTGGTAATCGTGCCGGGTGTGGCCCTCCCTCCAGACGTCCCTCGCCCAGCGAAGGCCGACAGCCACGACGCGCACGGCGCGCCGCTCGGCGCGGACGAAGCGACCGCCACGCGCGAGCAGCTCGGGTGGAAGTACGGGGAGTTCGAGATCCCCGACAGGCCAACGCCTCCCACCCCCCCCTCCCCCTCACGCCGCCACCTAGATCACCGAGGATCTGTTTTTTTTCTCAACCCTCCCGCGCTGGGTTTTCGTCTCGAGTAGAGCACTGTGGTCGCATCCTCCTTCCCGCCCCCTCTCCCCTTCTCCTTCGTTACCGCCCCAATGTCCACCTCAATCCTGGGCCCCCGGTCCTCGCCCTGCTGCTGTTGTCGTGTGAATCGTGCCAATTGAGCGCGCCCTATGTAGCTTGCAATACATATATATATATATATATATATATATATAATTGCGCCTGCACTTTCATTGTCCTGGCAAATGTGGGCTAACTCCTCTTGTCACTTGATGTACATGGGTTGGGAACGTCGCAGGGTAATGCTTTTTTCGATCTGGGCGTTTTCCTCGATTTGGGCCTCCAGGGCCCGATACCGCGCGCCGTCACCTCCAAAAGTACGCCTTGGGAAGGGGTCGGGAGCTCTGAGGCCGTCGTTCGAACAGATCATACCGGAGGACGTCTGGGTTCGAGGATCGGGGGTCGAGGATCGAGATTCGGAGGCCGAGGTTTCGGAGAACGTTTCCGGCCAATCTTGGGCCTCCAGCGGAGGCCCCTGGAGCCACCCCCTACTCATGAGCTGGAGGCCTTCCTGCCTGTTCCTCCCTCTTTTCTGTTACCCCTGCTCGTTCTGCAGGTCCTCCTGCTGCTCCTCTCCTGATGCTGCTCGTCCTGCCTTCTGCCTCCTGCCTCCCTCCCTCCCTCACTCGAGCAAACCCAGATCTCGATTGGGGGATCAACTATAGAATTTGTTTATACAACAATTTGTTCCAAATCGCTTCGCTTATTCCGCCGGCGCGTATTGTGCCATCGCAGGCGTTTGCGTGCGCGTTAGTGGATTCTTGAGGGCGGTTTGGGGGCCTCTTGGGGCTTCTTTTTGGACCTCTTGGGGGCCTCGTGAGGCCTCCGGGGAGCTCCCTGGGCTCTCTTGGGGGCCTTTTGGCGCCTCATGGGGGCCTTTTGCGACGGAAGTCTCGAATTGGTGGTTCGTGTTCCCTCTCTTGGGCCCTCTTGGGTCCGTCTTGGGGCCCTCTTGGGCGATCTTGGGCGCCTCTGTGGCCGTTTTGGGGCACTCTTGGACCGTCTTGCGGCTCTCTTGGGGGATTCGGCGCGTCTTGGAGCGGTCTTGGGGGCCTCTGGGGACATCTTCGGGCGTCGGAAGCCCGCAAACGCGGGAACGCGAAAAACATTGTCACTTTAATGGAAAATTATTTTTTTTTTGCCTCTGGGGGCCCTCTTGGGAGGTCTCTTGGAGGATGACTGGGGCGTCTTGCAGGCTTCTTGGGCCGTCTGGAGGTCATCTTGGCGTCTTAGACTGGTCGTTTGGTGACTCGGAGCCCTCTCTGACCGTCGCGGGGCCTCTTGGGGTTCTCTTGGCGCGCTCTGGGGGGCCTGAGATGATCGGGTAGCTCTGGGATATACATGCCGTGACGTTTATTGTTTACCATTGCCATATCTTACTCAAGCTGAGAAACGGACATACCGTATATCATGGTAGCGCGGAGCGAGGTTGTGAGTCGGCCTGCCTGCGATACCGCTGTGCATATCCTCCGTGGGCCCTAGGGAGGCGCTGGCGCGGCTGGAGCAGCCGCGGACGAGACCTGCTGGCAGCTGGTCTCGACGAAGCCTGGCAAAGCTTGGGCGAAGATTGTGCAAGGCGTGCTGAAGCTGGCTCGCCGCAGACGCAGGTGGCATTGCGAGGGCGAAGCTCTCAAGATAGTCAAGGCGCGCGGCCTGGCAGTCGCAGATGGACGAGGCTCGCGTCGCCCAGATTGAGCAGGCTCTCGCGGCGGCGCAGCAGCAGCAGCAGCAACAGCAGATGATCCAGCAGCTGGCTGCCCAGGCCCAGTCGGCCGAGGCCCGAGCGCAGGCAGCAGAGGCTACGGCTCAGGCGGCCCGAGGGTCCGGTCCGCAGCAGCCAGCCGAGCAGCCTGGTGGCCAGCAGCCAGCAGTGAATCGACTGGTCGACACGAGGGTCCTGGGGAAGCCGCACGACTTCAACGGTGAGCCTGGCACGTGGCGTGACTGGAGCACGATCTTCCGTGCCTATGCCAGCGCGTGCGAGCCAGCCCTGATGGACCTCATGGAGAAAACAGAATTCTCGGACGAGCCGGTGCTGAACGCCACGCTGCCAGATGAGCCCGTGCGATTCAGCAGCCAGCTCTATTATATGCTAGTCATGTTGAACAAAGGCCTCTCGCTCGACCGCATAGTCAGCGCTGGAGTGAACGAGGGGCTGGAGGCTTGGAGGACACTTGTCGTGTTTAATGAGCCTCAGAGTCGGACCGGGCAGCAGGATTGCTACAAGAGTTGCTCTCGCGGGATTTCGAAGGTGATGCCCTGTCGAAGCTGATCTCGTTCGACAGGAGCGTGACGCGCTACGAGCAAGCTGTCAGCACTGGGTTCCCCGACGAGATCAAGATAGGCATCCAGGTCCGATCGCTCAAGGAGGGCCCGCTACGGCACCACCTGCTGCTCAATAGCCAGCGCCTCGACACGTGGGAGCTGGTGAAGGCGGAGGTGGAGAACCTCAGGCGGGCCCAGATCGCGACGACAGCGAGCGCGGGCACAGGCGTAGCACCGATGGACCTCGACTCGCTTGCGAAGCAGCTGTCAGCTCTCGGCTTCAAGGGTGGCAAGAATGGCACGACAGGCAGCGGCGAGGGCAAGACCAGAAGGCCCGGCAAGGGCAAGGGCAAGGGCGCTGATGATCTGACGACCAAGCCGTGTCCGATCTGCGGCAGGACAGGCCACTGGAAGCGTGGCTGCTGGTGGAGCTTGACGGCTGCGCCAGGCAAGGCGCCGCCGAAGGGTGGTGGAGGTCGAGGTCGTGGTAAAGGCAAGGGTGATGGCGAGGCTGGTGATCCACCGATGCCGAAACCATGCTGGACCTGCGGCTCGACGGCGCATCTGGCCAATGACTGCCCGGTCGCAAAGAAGGCTGGCGCCTTGGGCGAGATGGCCGAGCCGGAGCCGCCCGAGGGCCTGGGCGGCCTCTTCCTGGCGGCGCTCGACCTGTCGGCAGTGTCCTCGAGCGGCGAGACGGTGCGCTTCGGGATCGACTCGGGCGCGGCGGTCACGGCGATCCCGCGCTCGCTGGGGGCCGACTACCCGATCGCGGAGAAGCCGTCGGGAGCGCAGTGCCTCAGTGCGACGGGTGAGCCGATCCGAGACGAGGGTCAGCGCAAGCTCATGGTGCAGACTGGTGGTGCGCTGCGTGGCATCAGGGCCCGCGTCGCGGGCGTCGGGCGACCGCTGCTCTCGATCTTCGACCTGGTGAAGAGCGGCCATCGCGTGGTTTTCGAGCAGGACCAGCACGGCAACGACATCAGCCACGCCGTCCACATCGAGAGCGGCAAGACGGCCCGCTTCACGCGGAGGCAGCGTACGTGGGACCTGGACGTGAGCATCGTGCCAGCAAAGGAGGTCGCCCAGATGTCCCAGACACTCGTGAAGGAGTTACCGCTCTGCTCGGTCGAGGGCTGCAGTGGCTGCGACAGGCTACATGGCAAGAAGCGTTTGTGCCCTTTCGGGCGGCAGGCGCGGCCGTGAGACCAGCGATGATGGCGCCAGCAGTGGGGCCTCCTGCGCTGCATGGCGTCGCTTCTGTGACAGGAGTGGTACCTCATGGAGTTGATGATGGACATGTTGCGACCATCGAGAGCCATTTTAGCCCGGTCGCAGGCGACCCTGTCCCGCCAGGTGGAGACGCCGTGGCAGGGGACGACGGAGTTGGAAGTGCAATCGAGCTCGAGGGTCTCGTCGAGGAGCGTCGCGAGTCTCAGCCTGCTCCGGTGCGAGCACGACGTGGGCCGAAGGAACCTACTCAGGCAGATCTCGAGCAACGCGAAGCAGCAGGTCGCGCACCCTTCAGGGACTGGTGCTACTGCTGCCTGGCTGGGCGTGGCCGTGCTGATGGTCACCCGGCGGGCGCTCCTGGGAGAGCGCATGCTATACTTACGTTCGCGGTGGGCTACGGATACCTTGTGAAGCGGGAGGAGGTGGAGTCGGGCCAGTCCGTGCTTCCCATCCTCGTCGGCATCGATTCGGCCACCTCGCGGGTCAGCGCCGACGTCCTCCCGTGGGCATCCAGCATGAGTGCAACGTGGCCCGCGCCTTCAGCCAGGTGGAGGCGACCGGCCACCCGAAGATCATCTACACGTCTGATGGTGAGGGTGCCTTGGTGGCGCCCAAGCGAGAGGCGACGATCCGCCTCAGGAATTTGAAGTTCGAGGTCGTGCCCGAGGAGGCGCCGGCCTACGACAGTGCTAGCAACGACCTGGCATAGGTAGCAGTGAGGGAGGTCAAGGGCGTAGCACGGTCTCTGAGAGTCGCCTTGTCCCTGCTGCGCGGCACAGACATCCCGAATGACCACCCAGTGTTGACCTGGCTCTGGCCCACGCTGCAGGGTGCATCAATCGTGGCAAGATCGGCGCCGATGGACGGACGCCGCGCGAGAGGCACAAGGGCAGGGCCTTCCGCAAGGTGCTGCCGCCTTTCGGTGAGATCATCGTGTTCCTCCCGAGTGCGAGGCGCGACGCCAAGTTCGAGGGGCGCTGGAAGATCGGAGTCTTTCTGGGCGTCATCGAGAAGTCGACCGAGATGCTCGTCGGCTACGACTGCAGTGTCGTGCGCGCGCGGTCGATCAGGAGGAGACCGCCGAGCCGGCGGGCCGATGCGGCCCTGTTGCTTTCGATCAGGGGTGCGCCGTGGACGCCGACCCCAGACAAGCCAGAGAACGTTCGCATCCCGACGGTCATCGACGAACCTTCTGTCGACCCTGCCGCGCAGCAGCCGAGGGTTGTGCCGGAGCTGAGCCTCGGAGCGTCTACATTCGCAGGAACGTGGGTCTGGCCAAGTACGGTTCCACAGACGGATGCCCGGGCTGCCTCGCGGCCCGGACTAACGCGGCAGCCAAGGCCCACAGCTCGGAGTGCCGTGAGCGCATCCAGCAGGCCATGGCGAACGACCCCGAGCTCGCGCCCCGTGTCTTCGGAGCAGCGGCCCGCCAGTTGGAGGCTGCTGACAGGGCGCCTGTGCGCCAGGAGGGCGAGGGCTCCTGGGCGCCGCTTCAAGCTGCCAGCCCGGCAGAGGCGCCGATGGAGGTCGATCGACCTGGCCGACGAGCTGCCCCGCGTCGGGGCTCGCCCGCGGAGCTGACGCAGGCATCGAGGCGCCGCCTCGCGGCGCCAGGCGGCCCAGCACCCCTCGCGCCCGCGGTCAGCGGTGAGCAGCCAGGGGCGCCAGCGCAGGCGCCAGCCACGCCGCGGGCGCAGGCTGCTGGGCCGAGCGGGCTTCTGCAGGCGCCGCCTGGAGCTGGGGGTGCCATGGGCGCGAACTGGCTGGAGCTCTGTGCGCTGCTGGCGGCTTTCGGCGACTGGAGACTGGCCGTCAGCGAGCTGTGCGGACCAGGGCGTTTCACGTCTCGGTCGAGTGCCTTCGACCTCGAGCCCGGCACAGCCTACGGCATCAGGACCGGCTGCGACTTTAGCCAGGAGGGCGACAGGCAGCGGGCGCAAGCTACGATCGAGCTGGAGCAGCCGCTACTGGTCACCGGCAGCCCGATGTGCGCGCCGTGGTCGAACCTGCAGGCCCTCAACGTGTTCCAGGGTGTGGGCGCCAACGCCATCATGGAGCGAGGCGTCGTCCACCTGGTCTTCTGTGCCGAGCGCTACAAGGAGCAGATCAAGGCTGGCCGCCTCTTCTTGCACGAGCAGCCAGCATCATCGAGGAGTTGGCGTCTCTGGATGATCCGAGAGATCGCCGAGATGCCAGGAGTACACTACGTCGAGTGTGATCAATGTGCGTATGGGTTGTGGTGCAATGACGCCATCGGCCCAGCGCTGGTCAAGAAGCCTACGGGGTGGTTGACCAACTCTGCCGAGATTGCCCGGGAGCTGACGCGTCGGTGTCCTGGGTGTGTTCGGCATTGCCAGACGGTCGGTCTAGGTCGGCGCGGCATGCGCACCATCGAGCGGTACCCGACGAAGCTTGTGGCTGCGGTGCTGCGTGGGCAGCGTCGTGAGGCGATCGCCCGCGGCCAGCTGGGTGCGCTGGAGGCTGGGCCACACCTCGACGAGCCGCAGGTCTGGGGCGCCTACCCGGAGTACTACACGGAGATCGTTGACAACATCATCGGGGCCGCTTTGGACCCCGAGCTCGTGGCAGCTGGCCGCAAGGAGGTGATGGAGTTCCTGCGCGGCCTGGGCGCCTACGTGTACGACACCAAGCAGCACTGCCGCGAGGAGACCGGGCGCGACCCGGTGCCCATGATCTGGGTGGGCGTCAACAAGGGTGACGACCGCAAGCCCAACGTCCGCTGCAGGCTGTGAGTGGCAGAGACACGTTGCCGCGCGAGCATGGATTTGGGGGGCCCCTCGCAGACGTTTAGCGCGACACCCCCGTATGAGGCACTCAGGATGTTGATTTCTTTCTGTTGCTCGCCCAGGAACGCCGAGGAGGACCGGCACGTCCTCATGTTCCTGGACATCACGAGGGCTCACCCGCACTGCGAGATGAATCGGAAACTGTGGGTGAAGGTGCCGTCGGAGGACCCCCGCTCGGCTGACCCCAACGTGCGCGGGCTGCTGGTCAGGTGTCTCTACGGCTGCCGTGACGAAGGCCAGAATTTCGAGCTGCTGGTCCGTGTGACACTGGAGGGCAAGATGGGTTTCTCCTGTGGCGTCTGGTGTCCCTGCACATACCGCAGAGGCGACAGCAAGCTCGTGGCCTGCGTCTACGGCGACAACTTCGTGCTGAAGGGCTCCCGCGCCGACAACCTAGAGTTCTACCGCGAGCTGCAGAAGTGCATGCGGGTCAAGCTCGAGGGCATGCATGTTGGGACCCAACAAGAGTGCTGGTGATGTTCAAGAGGTGGTCTGTCTGAACCCCATCTTCCGTTGGACCTCGAGAGGTGGCGTGGAGCTCGAGGCGGGCTCTCGCCGCGCGCTCATCATGATGCAGCAGCTGAACCTTTGGCGCGAGTCGAAGGCTCACTCAACGCCAGGTGTGAAGTCCAAGAGCGTGGATCGTGGCAGGGTCCTGGAGGGCGAGGAGGGGACTCGCTGCCGCAGCCGGGTCATGCGAGCCAGCTACCCCAGCGAGGACTGCCCGGACATCAAGTACGCAGTGAAGGAAGCAGCGAAATGCATGCACGAGCCGTGCGAGCACGGCATGGAGCTAGTCAAGAGGATCGCCAGGTATCTCCTGGGCCGTCCCGGGCTGGTCCAGAGGTTCCGCCGCCAGCGTTGGTCAGGTGTGCTCAAGGGCTTCTCGGACAGTGACTTCGCGGGCTGCCCGGAGAGCAGGAAGAGCACGAGCTGCGGGGTCTTCCAGCTGGGGGAACACATGATCAAGGTCCTCAGCGCGACTCAGCGCAGTGAGGCTCTCAGCTCAGGTGAGGCCGAGTGGTGCGCTCTAGTGCGCGCCGCGTCCTGTGGGATCGGTCTGGTCTCGCTGGCGTGCGACATGGGATGCGAGCTGGAGTTGTGTATGTTTGGCTGGCGACGCTGCGGCGGCCAGCGGGATAGCTCGCCGCCGAGGGGCGGGGCGCATCCGACACATCGAGACGAAGACTTTGTTTTGTGGCTCCAGCGCCATGTGACCGAGCGTCGAGTTATCCTGTCCAAGACGCTCGGCAAGGTCAATGTGGCAGATCTCGGCGCGAAGCATCTGGCGCAGAAGGAGCTAGATGAGATGCTGGGACTGCTTGGATTTACTGTGGCTACGGGCAAGTCTGGCCTGCTTCTCTAGCGGTCGCAGGCAACCTGCTTGAGCCTGAACTGGCTTGCGATCCCGAGGGCAAAAGGGGAGGTGCAGGCAGGATTTCCGTTGAAGGTAGCCCGAGTCAAGGCGACTGATTTCATGTGCGCAGGCATGCTTCCTGTGAGGTTGCGTGTGGCGAGGCGAGTGACTTTTTCTTTTCAGCTTCGCTGGGGCAATCCGGAGATCGCTTGGGTCGAGACTCGAGGGAGCTCGACGCGGCGGCGAGGAGGGCTGACCGGGTAGCTCTCGGATATGCATGCCGTGACGTTTATTGTTTACCATTGCCATATCTTACTCAAACTGAAAAGCGGACATACCCTATATCATGCGAGGCAGCACCCATGAGAAAAAACATCTCCGAGTAAAGGTTCGCCAGGGATCAGCTGGTGTACTTTTGAGCGCGCGAACTAGAAAACATTGAAACTAGTTACCAGAGATCTTAGCACGCCTCTGGCCTGTCGGGCTGGCGAATTTCCCCGCCGAGTTTGCGAACAGATGCGTTTACTGTCCCGTAGATCTGCGAGTATTCTACGCGTTTCTGGTATAGTCGGCGGGAAAATCAATTCTGGAGTCAATCAGTGGGGAGGGCCTCACCCTCGCCCGCGCGGGACCGACCCCAGGCGCGAGGCCAGGAGACTGGGCGCAAGGAGCGGGCACGGCGTCAGTGAGGGCCGGAGTGGCAGCCCCCTCCAGAGCGCAGGCGGAGTCCGAGCCAGGTGGCCCAGGCTGTGCTGGCGACGATGATGGCGTCGCAGCTCCGTAGTTGATCCCCCATTCGAAGAACGTCGGTGTCCCGCCAGTCGAGACCGCTGCCCCCCAGCGCCATGGCGCTCGCCGTTGCGCACCGCCCCGCGCCTGGCCTGCAGCCCCCCCCCGCGCGCGTGCGCGCCCGCCGCGGCTCCCAGCCGCGCGGTGGCCAGATGCCCAGCCGAGCGCGCTCGGGGCCAGCAGGGCAGTGTTCGAATATGGGGCACGAGCGACATGGGTACGGCAAGAGGGGGTACAAAGACCAACAGCAGTTCCTCTTCATTTTGAGCAGAACTCGCTGTCGGTGCCGCCGCGGACGGTGTCCGTTTGAGACAGGAAGCCGCCTGCCCAACTGCGGCCGCTGTCGGTTTTGGACCACGCTTGTTGTTGGCCATCGCACGCTTTTTACGTACCCATTTCGGGCGTCCAGAAATATGGGATCGATTACAAAGTTGATTTACCCTAAAATTGATTTCCTCGTCGAGTCTACGAGAAGGTGCGCAGGTCTGCTCGTACATCTAAGATCCTTCTGCATAGTTTCCGTCGATCCGACGACACATTCAGTTTGGGGGTACATCGACAATGTGGTCGATGTCTTACTCGAAGTCTGGGCGGCCGTCCGGACAGCCGCGACCTCTGCCCCCACGGCCCCGTGGCTCGTGGCCACGGAGCGGCACGCGTCCGGCCAGAGCTTGCCGAACTCCGCGCCCTCCCGGTGAAGGGCAGCCGGCGCCTGCCTCGCGCGCCCGCCCTGGCCAGCCGAGGGGCTCCAGGGCGAGGGGCACCACGGCCCTGCCGTCGTGCGTCAGCCCGCCGCGCTCGCTCCCGGTGGAGGCCTCCCCTGGGGAGCAGGTGCGGCTGCGTGACCTCCGCTGCGAGAGGCGACCACACCGTGACGGCGATGAGGAACTCGATGCTGGACGCGGGCCGACGGAAGACCAGGTCCATAATCACCCCCGATCCGTGTGTTCAACGGGGTTCATCCCGAAGGTCCTGAGTCGAGCGCTGCAGTCGACTCGACGCTCGAAGGTTCCGAGGCCCAAGTAGTCTATGTAAGCCTGCTAACTGACATGCACCCGCAGCGGTGTCCACTCCACACCACTCCACTCCACATCACCCTTCGCCTTGTCTCAGTCTGGGGCGGCTGGTGGCGGAGGTGGCACTCGCGCCACCAAGCCCGCCCCTCTGCTTGCGAGGACAGCGCGACGTTCCATCCGACGTTCGTCGACGACGACCCTCCTTCCCCCCAGGGGGTCTCCTCGTTGGGACACCAACAGGTACCGATACCGCTACTCCCCAGACCTCTCTCGGTGTGCGTTCTGACCAGAATTTCGAGGCGAATCCAGCGGTGGCGACGAGTGCCTCCCGGGAGGTCCACAAAGGGGGAAATCGAGGCCAGGGTAGCGGCACGGGTACCCTCCTCCGAGCTCGATCGGTCGATGCTTGGCGTCGCAGATTCACAGAGGGCCGCCGAGCTGCTCCCGAGGTCGCCCGGTTCAGCTCGCAAAAAGCCCTCCCCCCCGAGGGCCTCGCGAGGCCGTGCGCGGCCGTAGCCCCCAAGAGGCGCACGGCTGGGCGCCAACGGCGACGGGATAGCTTCGGGACTTCGACTACCCGATGCCGATGACGACGACGACGCCGACGACGTAAGAGCGACCCTTCGCCAGAGTGACATTTGGTGCGGGCCCCCTGGAGTCCTCCGACCGCTGACTGCGATGCGCTAGTCCACCGCCAGAATATGTCCGCATCCACCGCTGGTCGTGACCTGGGATCTCGAGGAGCGGTGGACATGGATATCTGTCCGCCCTTGTGGGCGGGGCAGCGGTCTGCGCGCTTGGGCTGTTTCCCTCTTTCCTCTTCCTTCTCCTCCTTGTCCTCCTCCAGTTTCCCTTCTCCCCTCCCCCTTCCGCCTCTTCCTCCTCCTGCTGCTCCGCCTCCTCTCCCCCTCCACAATTACTCAATAGGAATACTACTCTCCCTCTTCCCCCGATGGCGGCCTGAAAGTAGCCGACCCCCCCCGCGTATTGTGTTTTTACACAGGATTCCCGGGAGTTGGGTTTTCGCCTGCGTTTTTTTTCAAAATGCTGCTCTCGCTGAGGCGCCGGCCTCATTTCTGCTCCCGAATCGTTCCGAATCGTGCTCCCGCTGCAGCGTGGGCCTCATTTTCGGATCGGTGTTTGGCCTCCGTCGTTCAGGATGGCGTTCTCGCCCCAGCGCGGGCCTCTTTCTCGCGCGCCCATCCGCCCGCCACCACCGCGCCGCACCACCACCACCACCACCACCACCACCACCACCACCACCACCACCACACCACCACCACCACCACCACCACCACCACCACCACCACCACCACCACCACCACCACCACCACCACCACCACCACCACCACCCACCACCACCCACCACCACACCACCACCACCACCACCAGCACCACCACCACCGCCACCAGCACCACCACCAGCACCACCACCACCACCACCACCACCACCACCACCACCACCACCACCACCACCACCACAACCACGCACACACGCACGCACGCACGCACGCGCACCACCACCCACTGCGTACGCGCGCGGAGCCACAGGTCCGCTACGACACGCGTCCGCGGATAGAGAAAATCAGCGCCGTGGTAAGGGATGGGAGGGAGGGGTAGGACGTCAGATATGACGCGAGCGCACCTAGCTTGCCCTCCTCCCCCTCCCCCTCCACCTCTTCCATCTCCTCCTCCTTCTCGTCCTTTTCCTCCTCCTCCGCATTCGCTAGCCCTGTCCCTTCCCTCCTCCCCCCCAAACAAGCGTTCCCTAAGCGGTCGCAGACTCCCCCCAAACGAGATGTGCTTCCATTCTTCGATTGAACGTCAGATCAAGCGTTCGCTTCTCTAAGAGCGGCGTGCGGCGGCGGACGCTGAACCGTTCCCTGTTTCCCTTTTTCCCATCGCATCTTGAATGCGGGCCGCTCCCTTTACACAGCTCAGCGTGGCGCATTGCTTCCTCCCTCCTCCTCATCCTGCTCATCTCCACAATGACTTTCCTCCTAGATTCAACGCTGGTGGACAATGCTTTTTCCTAGACCCCCTCCTCCACCACTTCTTCCTCCTTGCCCCTTTTTTTCTCCTACTCCTCCTCCTCCTCCTCTTCTCCCTTCTCCCCTCTTGCCCCGACAGCGTCTACGACGTCTTCTCCGCGCACGCGTCCGAGGGCGCCAGGAAGCAGGAGGAATGGAACAAGGCGCACAGGGGAGAGACATGCCGATGACCGACGCCCCTCCTCCCAGACCCCCGACGCCGCTTTTTTTTTGTTTGTTTTTTGATTTTTTGTTGTTTTTTCTTTTTTTGTTTACAACGTCACCCCCAGATGCCTGGACCCCTTCCCCGGGACCGGTTTCTCGACCCCAAGATGTTTGGACCCCGTCCCCGGGACGGTCCCGAAACCCAGCGAAGGTCCCCAGAGACCGAAAATAGCGAAAACTTCCCGTCGTGACTTTTTCACAACGCGAGGGCGTCTGGGCTCGTTGGTCCTCCCAGGGGTCCTTGCCCCGGAGTCCTGGTCAGAACGCGCCCCTTGAAGAGCTCCTGGGGAGCAGCGGCGTCTGCACCCGTCGGGAGCTCCCTCACGGTGCGGCGACCACACTGTGTGATGAGTCATTGGGGGTTCGGGGTGACCGCGCGGTTTTGGGACTCAGGTCTCTCTGGGGCCTCCACCCATCGAGAATAACAGAGCCCTAGCCTTAATTACGCTACCGAGGAACTCCATACTTCGTTTTAACTCTTGTCTTAGCGTAGCTGACGTGTAATGTACATGGATGATGCTAGGTGGTCAAAAGCGGATAGCGCTCCCCCCCCTGCGCCCTGCGCACCCCCTGTGCCGTCCCTGTGAGCCCGCAACGCACGGCGCCCCCACCCCCAGCGCACCCAATGTGGCGTCGAGGAAATGCCACGCCTGCCATGCCCTGCGAGCCTGCAACGCGTATGAGCCGCGGTGAGAGACCACCCCCTGCGCCCCCCCTCTGGTGTCGAGAAAGTGCCACGCCTGCCACGCTCTCCGACCCTGGCACGCATAGGGGCCGCGGTGAGAGAACACCCCCTGCGCACCCACGCTTGCCACGCTCTCCGACCCTAGCACACAGGAGCCGCGGCGAGAGACCACCCCATGCTCACCCCCTCTGGTGTCGAGACAGTGCCATGCTTGCAACGCTCTCCGACCCGGGCACGCATGGGAGCCGCGGTGAGAGACCACCCCTTGCGCACCTCTGGTGTCGAGAAAGTGCCACGCTTGCCACACTCTCCAACCTTGGCACGCATAAAGGCCACGGTGAGAGACCACCCCATGCGCATCCCCTCTGGTGTCGAGAAAGTAGCAACGCCTACCACGCCCTCCAACCCCTGGCACGCATTGAGGCCGCGGTGAGAGACCACCCCCTGTGCACCCCCTCTGGTGTCGAGAAAGTGCCACGCCTGCCACGCTCTCAGACTCTGGCACGGATAGGGGCCGCGGTGAGAGACCCCCCTCTGATGTCGAGAAAGTACCACTGCTTCCACGTACTGCGAGCGTGTTGCAGGTAGAGGCCGCGCTGAGGGACCACCTTCTGCGCACCACCGGTGGCGCCGAGGAAGTGCCACTTTTGCCACGCGCTGCGAGCGTGTCACGGATAGAGGCCGCGTTGAGGGAACACCCTTTGCGCACCCCCTGTGGTGTCGAGAAGGTCCTCTCCTGCCACACCCTGCGAGCGTGTCACGGACTGAAGCCGCGCTGAGGGAACACCGTCTGCGCACCCCCTGTGATTTCGAGAAATTGCCAGTGCTGCCACGTACTGCGAGCGCATCACGGATAGAGGCCGCGCTGAGGGACCATCCTTTGCGCCCCCCCCTGCGGTGCCGAGAAAGTGCAACTCCTGCCACACCCTGCGAGCGTGTCACGGATAGAAACCGCGCTGAGTGACCACCGTTTGCGCACCCCGCGTGGTGTCGAGAAAGTGCCATTCTGCCCTGCGAGCGCATCACGGATAGAGGCCGCGCTGAGGGACCACCCTTTGCGCACCCCCTGTGGTGCCGAGAAAATGCCACTCCTGCCACGTCTTGCGAGCGTGTCATGGATAGAGGCCGCGCTGATGGACCACCCCCTGCGCACCCCTTGTGGCGTCGAGAAATTGCCATTCTTGCCACGCCCTGCGATCGTGTCACGGATAGAGGCCGCGCTGAGGGACCACCTCGGTGAACCCCTTGTTGTGTCGAGAAAGTGCCATTGTTGCCATTCATTTCGAATCCTACACGAATGTCTTGTATATGGCGTCTCGTGTGCATGTGTATGATGCGGGTGCGGCCGTATTTGGACGTGTGTGGTGCATACGTTTTTGGTATATGATACAGTGATCAGGCCAAGCGCGCTATAGCACTGTTAGTATTAGTGTGTGTGTGTGTGTGTGTGTGTGTGCGCGCCCGCATGCGTGTGTTGTGTCTTGTGTGTATTGTGCATGTGTGTGTGTGTGTGTGTGTGTGTGTGTGTGTGTGTGTGTGCGGCTGGATGCGGACGCGTGTCTCATTTTCGCACCGTGCATGCGTTGCGCGTGGGTGAGGGAAGAAAGAAGAGGAGGAGGGTAGGAGGGAGACGTGGGTGCGACGCGGCAGGGGAGGAAACCATAACCCCACGAAACATGCGGCGAATAACACGATGAAGACGTGGCCTCGCTGAGAAACCACTTACGCCCTAAAGGGCTGGTGAATTTGCATAGAATCCGACCGTGGCGTCGAGAAGGCCCCCTGGCAAATTGAACTTCGGATTCGAATCGAGGATGTTTTTCACCGCTCGTCCTTCGTTTAGGCCTCGTCCCGCCTTTTTTGTTTTTCGCAACGTCGGACATCTGCGTGGGGGCAAAACGTTCAGGCCGTTGGACCTTTCGTGACTGCCCCTGGACCTCTCGTACAGGCTGCGTGATGCATCCCGGTCGCGTGCGAGCGTGCCCGCTGAGTCCGTCAGTGACCGCCCCGCTTCCCAGATGGGGCCACGAAGCGTGCGAGGGATGTGCCGAAATGAGTGGCTGGGACGCATGTGGACGGCGCCACCGAGACCCTCATTGAAAATCCCGATCGGGCCACGAAACATGTGAGGGGTGTGCCACAATGAGCGGATGGGACGCATGCGGGCGGCGCCATTGGGGCCTTCGGTGGAGCTCCCTATGAGACCACGGAACTTGTGGGGTGTGTGCCGAAGTGAATGTCTGGGATGTATGCGGGCGGCGCCACTGGGGCGTTCGGCGGGGCTCCCTATGGGGCCACGAAACGTGTGAGGTGTGTGTGTGTGTGTTGTGTGTGTGTGTGTGTGTGTGTGTGTGTGTGTGTGTGTGTGTGTATGTGTGTGTGTGTGTGTGTGTGTGTGTGTATGGGCGGCTGGGACGCATGCGGGCGGCGCCACTGGGGCCTTCGGTGGAGCTCCCTATGGGGCCACGAACCGTGTAAGGGGTACGCCGTAATGAGCGGCTGGGACATATGCGGGTGGCGACACTGGGACCCTCGGTGGAGCTCCTTATGGGGCCACGAAGCTTGTGGGGAGTGTGCCGAAATTAACCGCTGGGACACATGTGGGCGGCGCCACTGGGGCCTTCGGTGGAGCTCCCTATGGGGCCACGAGGCGTGTGAGGTTTGTGCCGAACTGAACGGCTGGGACGCATGCGGGCGGTACCACTAGGGGTGTCCCGACATGAGTGGCTGGGACGCATGCGGGAGGCGCCACTGGGGCCTTCGGTGGAGCTCCCTATGGGGCCACGAGACGTGTGAGGTGTGTGTGTGTGTGTGTGTGTGTGCCCCGAAATTTGCAGCTGGGACGCATACGGGCGGCGCCATTGGGACAGTCGGTGGAGCTTCCTATGGGGCCACGAACCGTGTGAGGAGTGTGGAGACATGAGTGCCTGGAACACATGTGGGCGACGCCTCTAGGGCCTTCGGTGGTGCTTCCCATGTGCCGAAATGAGCGGCTGGGACATATGCGGGTGGCGACACTGGGACCTTCGGTGGAGCTCCCTATGGGGCCCCCAAAATGTGAGGGGTGTGCCGCAATGAGCGGCTGGGACGCATGCGGGCGGCGCCATTGGGACAGTCGGTGGAGCTCCCTATGGGGCCACGAACCGTGTGAGGAGTGTGGAGACATGAGTGCCTGGAACACATGTGGGCGACGCCTCTAGGGCCTTCGGTGGTGCTTCCCATGTGCCGAAATGAGCGGCTGGGACATATGCGGGTGGCAACACTGGGACCTTCGGTGAAGCTCCCTATGGGGCCCCCAAAATGTGAGGGGTGTGCCGCAATGAGCGGCTGGGACGCATGCGGGCGGCGCCATTGGGACAGTCGGTGGAGCTCCCTATGGGGCCACGAACCGTGTGAGGAGTGTGGAGACATGAGTGCCTGGAACACATGTGGGCGACGCCTCTAGGGCCTTCGGTGGTGCTTCCCATGTGCCGAAATGAGCGGCTGGGACATATGCGGGTGGCGACACTGGGACCTTCGGTGGAGCTCCCTATGGGGCCCCCAAAATGTGAGGGGTGTGCCGCAATGAGCGGCTGGGACGCATGCGGGTTGCGCCACTGGGGCCTTCGGTGGAGCTCCCTATGGGGCCACCAAACATGTAAGGGGTGTGCCGCAAGGAGCGGCTGGGACGCAAGCGGGCGGCGCCACTGGGGCCTTCGGTGGAGCTCCTTATGGGGCCACCAAGCCTTTGAGGTGTGTGCCGAAGTGAGCAGCTGGAATGCATGCGGGCGGCGTCATGGGGGCCTTCGGTGAAGTTCTCGAGGGTGCCGTGAATCATGTGAGGGGTGTGCCGAAATTAATGCCCGGGACGCATGCGGGCGGCGCCATTGGGGCCTTGGGGCTCCCCATGGGGCCACGAGCCGCGCGAGGGGTGCGCAGACATGAACGCCCAGGACGCATGCAGGCGGCGCCTCTGGGGTCTTCGGTGGTGCTCCCTAGGGGCCACGAAACGTGTGAGGAGTGTGCCAAAATTGTGGACGTGCGGAGAGCAGAGGCAGGGATGGTAGGAGGGAGGAGGAGGAGGAGGAGGAGGAGGATGAGGAGGAGGAGGAGGAGAAGGAGAAGGAGGAGGAGGAGGAGGAGGAGGAGGAGGAGGAGGAGGGTGAAGGAAAGAGAGGAGTGGAGAGGAGATGCGTGGCGCTGTTTCTTCAAAACGAGGACCCAACACCACAGGATGGTTGGGAAAAATTAGCTTTAAGCTTTTTTCCTCTCACAGGTTTGGGCCCAGTACCAGGAGAAGGAGCCCGAACTCGCCAAGCAGTTCCAGCGCGTGGTCCTCGACAAGACGCTGCCCGAGGGCTGGGCCGACTGCCTGCCCAAGGTGACACCGGAGGACAAGGGCAAGGCCACGCGCCTCTGGTCGCAGGACTGCCTGAACGCCCTGGCAAGCACCATGCCGGACCTCATCGGCGGGTCCGCGGACCTTGCCCCGTCCAACATGACCCTGATGAAATGCACGGGGGACTTCCTCAAGGGCTCCTACGAGGGCCGCAACATGCGCTTCGGCATCCGCGAGTTCGGCATGGGCGCCGTCGCCAACGCTGTCTCCCTGCACAAGACTGGCCTGGTCCCGTACTGCGCCACCTTCACAATCTTCAGCGACTACATGCGGAATGCCATCCGCCTGGCCGCCCTCGCGCAGGCGGGCACGATCTTCGTGACGACCCACGACTCCATCGCCGTGGGCGAGGATGGCCCGACTCACCAGCCCATCGAGACCGTGCCGTCTCTGCGCATGATCCCCGACCTCACCGTCATCCGCCCAGCGGACGGCAACGAGTGCTCCGGCGCCTACAAAGTGGCCTTCGAGAAGTCCAAGCTGGAGTCCATGCCGACCTTCCTGGCGCTGACCAGGCAGGCGCTGCCCAACCTTCCCAACTCGTCCATCGAGAACGTGGAGAAGGGCGCCTACGCGGTGATTGAGTGCGCCGACCCAGACCTCGTCATGGTTGCCACTGGCTCGGAGGTGTCTCTGTGCGTGGACGCGTGCAAGGAGCTGACCGCCATGGGCAAGAAGATCCGCGTGGTGTCCATGCCGTCGTGGGAGCTGTTCCGCGCCCAGCCGGCCAGCTACAAGGACTCCATCCTGCCGAAGGGCGTGGCGACGCTCAGCGTGGAGGCCGCGGTCACCATGGGCTGGGAGGAGTTCATGGGCAACGTTTTGGGGGGATAGGCTCGGGATGCATCGTTCTGGAATCGGCGATACATCGATGACAGATCGGCGATATGTCCCAGACAGCGAAGACGCAGAGTCCTGGGCGGGGCGGGCTATCAGGCCCCTCTCAGGCCCCTTGTCGGCGTTCGATGGGCGATTGAGGGTCGGTGCATCGCCCCCTGAGCCTGTCGCCCTCTGACGCTGCCCCTCAGGAGTGGGCCGACGCCCACGTCGGCATCAACTGCTTCGGCGCCTCCGCGCCAGGGGACACCTGCCTCTACAAGTTTGGCTTCAGCGTCCCGAACGTCGTGTACTGCGCCCTGCGCCGCCTCAAGGGCGACACGGGCGTGCTCTCGGACGGCAGCCAGGGCAAGCACTGAGCTATCCCCGCTTTTGCAGGGGCCAGAACTGTGCACAGGCCGACTCTGGCCAGGCTCATCCTGAGCCTGGGATCAATGTATACGCCCTCCTGGCTTGGCCAAGGAGGCACATACACCGATTCTGGGCCCAGGGTGGTCTAAGCCAGGATCTGTACATGCGTTCAGCTCTGGCCGCGCGAGATTTTCTCCTCGTCAGGGGACGCCAGCTACGCATTCATCGACGAGCGGCCCTGCCGTGGGCCGGTCCTGGGCCCATCGATCGGCGCGCACGCCACCCCGGTCTTGGTCTGGAGGGCGAGCTGCAGCACTCCTGGGCCGAGAGCCTGGCCTGGCCCGGACGGGCATGTCAGAGGACATCGGCTTCCGGGTGCCCGTGCAGATCTCTTGGGTCGGCGCCCCGCCACCCCCCCCACACTCCTGGCGACGCCTCCGGTGCTGCCCCCCAGCGCGTTCCGTGCCAGGGAGAGGTGTGTGGGGAGGGGACTGTGCACTCATCGGCGGCGGAATCGGAATCCTACCCTCGCCGATGAACGATTCAGGCAACTCGATGGGCGGCGGGGGCAGGGTTCGGAAGTCGTCGGACACGTTGCGAAATCCGAACCCTACCCCCGCCTCCCACATTCACAGGAGAATCTATGGTTGGCGGGCGTAGGCTTCGGATGTCGCCACCTACCTTTACGACTGGCTGAGCTTGCTTTTAGTGCCAAGCGGTGCAGCCTGCATTGTCCAGTGCGACGAGACCGCCTGGTTGTGTGCTCACCAGGCCGCGGACGCTAAAGGTGGTGTCGGGATACCGGCCCAAGAACTCTGCGCGGGCTGGTGTCGGGGTACCAGCCAAAGAACTCTGCGTGGTCTTCGGGAAGGTTGTCTTTCCGAGCCCCGAGCGGATTGGCGCACATGCTCGGCTGATTTCGGAGGCCTAGAGTTTGACACCAACAGCAATATCGTCGGTCTGCCTCCACTGAGGGAAGATGCTCTCGATCTCGGTGATGGTGGTAATCTTCGCGCTTCTCAGGTGGCCCACATATTTCCACCAACACCGACATCTAGGATCATCTCCCCCCCGGTGGAGGCCCTCCCGTGTCAGGTGCCCATTTCCAGGCCTCCAATGATTGCATACAGGCAAAACGCTGAAGTACGGGTCGCTTTGGGTTCGGAATGGGCTCCCTGTCCTGGGTCATTCCGTGGTTGCTCCTCTAGCCCTCGTTCATTCAGGCGCTTCTGGGGCCAAGAAGGGGCTTCGTTCCTTTCCAGCGCTCCTAATACCAGCAGCTCTTCTACACCCGTGCGTATGGCGCCGCTTGGGCCTCCGTCTGTCTTCGCGTAGGGGCGCACGGTCAGCGCCCGTCCTTGGCCGCTTCCGCTGGCCGCGCCCCGCCCGCAAAGTGCTGACATGGCCTTTCAAGGCCGTTGCACCCTTCTCGCGCGTCCTTCTTATCCCGGCTGACTGCACTCTTGCTCCTGGTGCTGCTTGTGGGGCAACCGAAGGGTACCGATACCGCGACTCTCCAGACCCTTCCTGGGGTGCGTTCTGACAACGATTTCGTGGGGAATCCAGCGGTGGCGACGAGGGCCTCCCAGGAGGCCCAAAGGGGGGAAAACGAGGGAAAGGTAGCGGTATGGGTACCTTCTCCTCCTCCGAGTTTGGGCTTCCCGTCGGTCTCCGTGCATGGGCGCGTGGCTGGCGCCCCCTGCCCTCTGCGAGCGCGCCGCGCTCACAGCACATCCGCGGGGGGCACCCGTGCACCGCCGGCGCGCCTGGCCCGGGCGGCCCCCGTCGGATGGGATGTCGGCGGTAAGCGAGGGGAGGACAGGGAGAATCGGAGGAGGAACAGGGACCCATACCGCTACTTCGGTATCAGGTCATGGAAGCCTGGTATGCCCTCCAAATTCCGTCTTTGGCGTCGAGTAGCGTCGATCAGCGTTTGGGAGTCGATGAGATAGCGCCGCTTTAGCGTCGGTTAGCGATGATGAGCGTCGATGTAGGGCCGATTTGGCGTCGATCAGCGTCGATTAGCGTCGACTCGCAAGAGCAGACAAGATGGTATGGGAGGCTCCCATGAGTTGAAACCGGACGTACTGCTAGCCTTCCTCCGTTTTCGCCTTTGGGGGCTTCCTGGGAGGCGCTGGATTCGCCTCGAAATCCTGGTCCGAGCGCACCCCAGAAGAGGTAGGGGAGTAGCGGCATGGGTACCATTTGGCTTCCCCAGAGCGAGGGGGGAGGTACAAAGGAAAAGACCCTCTCAGAAGGCGGCGTGGCTTCTCAGAAGCCTTCGGGCCTTCTGAAAGGTCTTCTGTGTCTTCGGGGAAGGCTTAAACGTTCGGGGGGGATGTCGGCTGCAAGCGAGGGGGGGAGCGAGAAGGAGAAACCCTTTCAGAAGGCGGCGGGGCCTCTCAGAAGCTGGTTTTCTGTGTCTTCGGGGGAGGGTGAGGAGACTTCTCAGGAGGCCGGGGAACTTCCGAGCCTTCTGAGAAAGCCCGCGCCTTCATCAGGGGGGGATGCATCGACCCCCAATCGGCCATGCCTATAGGGTTGGGTGGTCCTTATGGGAGCCTCAAAGAGTCCCCAAATTCCTTGCGGTTTGGGGATATCGTCCACATGTGGTCGACATTTGCACGAAATTTGGACGACCTCTGGACGAAATGTGGACGACATTTCTACGAAAGTGTGGATAGGGTTGGTCGAAATGTGGACGACATTTGGACGACATCGCGACGAAGGTGTGAAGAGGGTTTGTCGAACTGTGGCCGAAATCCGGACGAAATCACGTTTATATTATGATAAGACCGCAGAGGTCCACAGAGGCTTCCGTGCCATGAAGGCTCGCCCAGGATAGTGGCCCGACAGTCCGCCCCGCTCCGACCCGCCGCCTATCGCCGACCTATCGGCGACGTATAGCCTATGTTAGCTCGATGTCGTGATTTGTTTCCAACCATCCTGTGGTGTTGGGTCCTCGTTTTGAAGAGACAGCGCCCCTCGTCTCCTCTGCTCTCCTCTCCTCTGCTCTCCTCTCCTCTCTCCTCCCTCCTCCTCCCTCCTCCCATGCCTGCGTCTGCTCTCCGCATGTCCTCCTCCCTCCTTATCCGCATGTCCACCATGCAGATAAAGAGGGAGGAGGAAGAGTATATACTGAGAAGGACATACGTACCAAGCAGGTGGATGCATTCGGATTCGGCGGAGGTACTACTCCAGAAAAGGTGGTAGAATACTTAGAAGATACTACAACAGCTACTGGGGCATCAGTCAGACGCAGCAGTATTGAAGACGACGGGCTCAACGAGATTCGGTGTCGTCGAATTCCCTTCCGTACAGTCTAAAACCAAATTCTGGAAGAAAGTACGGGATATTTTGAATGACGATGAGGATGCGCTGGGGGACATTTTCTTCCGAAGCAACCTTACCAAGGAGGAGCGGGAACGAGAAAAGCGCTTGGGCTACACAAAATACTACCTGTCCCAACATCCTCAGCACAAACATGCAGACATAAGGATTATTTGGGCAAAGGGGATGGTTGTGATGAAAAATGTGCGGGGAGAGAGAGGAATATCGTATGGCACGACGACGACGGGACGTGGCATACCACAAAAACTGGGAAAGTGGTGGAAGTCGCAGTGGAGGAGTCTATGCAGAAGTGGCGGGAGAAGGTGAGGCCTGACCCAGCCTCAGAGAGCGAATGACAAAGCAATCTCCTTTCGCAGCGCGCAGCTGCACCAGGTGCCAGTACAAGTTCGGCATCTACAGTATCAGTTTTGTCTTCGCCTCCGATTCCAAGCCCAAACAATAAAAATATTGGGGGTGGTAGGGGGACGTACTTCTGTGTTGATGGCGATTTCCCTGCAGGATCTCTGATGCCCCTCAGGAGCCGCGGCGGATCTTCGACCACAGCGCACATTCCAGATAACATCCCGGAGAAGACTTCTACACGACCGTCTTCTCCCAGCATTGGTGTCCGAATCATTTCACCGACTATTTCATATAGCGCCGGCATGCGGCCTGCACGGACCAGTACATGCACTACGGAGCCAAGCCATGGACAAACAGCAATCCAATCTGAAGTTGATGACAAGAACCTGAAAAGGGCTCACGTGTGACGACCGGTGTGATGAATTATTTGTAGACTTGTCGAGCTTTCATTGGGATGTCGTCCTCCTTAACGAAACCATGAGACCAACCAGGGAAGAGAAGTGGACAAATATAGATGGCCACATGTACGCAGGTTCAGGAGGAGATGATTGTAAACACGGCGTTGGCATTGTGATACACGCGAGATGGGCGAAGTTTGTGAGAATATTCTGTCCGGCGAGCGACCGGATAGCTTATGTCGACAATGTCGACATAATTTCGAAGACGGCGCGAGCCAAATTTTTTGCAGCATATTTTCCTCATGGGAAGTTTCGTGACACTCACATCCAGGCCATGTACGACACGCTATTTGCGGCATTGCGGTCAGCAAGGCAACGTCAACTACATGTGGTTCTTGGCGCAAACTGCAGCGCGCAGGTGGGTCCAGCTACGGAGTACGACAACACGCGGGTATGCGGAAGACACGCATACGGAAGAGAGAACCCCCGCGGAAAATGGTTGAAACACTGGGCCAATGCTGAGAATTTGGTGATCACAAACACACTGTCCCAGAAGCAGCTGCATGATTTGCCAACGTATTTGCACAAAAAGCATGGACCAACACAGCTGGACTACATCATCGTTTCGCGAGGTTTTTGGCGCACAGTCGCCGACTCTTTGTACGACAGCGGACGTGGACATGGGATCCGACCACGTAGCGTTGAAGCTACGCAGCTCCATTCGACAACAACCGCCCGTGTCCGTGAAGAAGCACATCTCGACGCGACGTCAGCTTGAAGACATGCAGTCCTGGCCGCCAAGTTCTGTGACTACGTACGTGAATGTACTTACCGACCACGTCGCCAAAATACCAGCTGGGGAAGATATAGAACAATAGTCTTCTACGATTGCAGGGTGTTTTCGAAAAGCTATGGAAACTGCCGACAAGCTTCTGGCCAAGGACCTCCGAATGCAGACCCAGATCTTTATTGTCTTCTTGAGCATCGTAGGACATTGCCAAAATATTGCGCCCGTGAACGAAGAGACATCATCAAACTTATCCAAAAACACATTACCACAGCTCGAGAAGCCAGACGATCCTACAAGATGTCACGTATTTTGGAAGAGTTTAGAGGGCTAAAGAACATGAGTAATATTAAGAATCACAGCAAGCAGGTGTACCAATCTTCGATGCGCACCCGCAGTCGGAAGCTATGTTACGATCGGGTCGACGTGGTGATTTATTAATTATTTTTATATATATATAGATGAAGCGCTGTATTCGAATAGTGACGGTGATTCGCCGCAGATCGCACGCATGAGCGAGGAAACGGACACGCATGACAATGAAGGAGTTCCAGAATTTTCAATGGAAGAGTTGGAGACGGCGCTACGACAGTTCAAACAATGGCAAAGCAGCAGACGTTGTTGGCATCGTCGCCGAAATGCTCAAATATGGAGGCCGCTCTCTAAGAACAGCGTTGTTGAGTTTGTACAACGACGTCGTAAAACCAGGAGCTTCGTCACCATCCGCATGGAAGCAAACGGAATTGTAAGTCTTGTTTAAAGCTGGAGACCCAAGCCTACCGGAGAAGTACCGCCCGATTTCTATCATCCCATTGATGTGCAAGCTTTTCCCGCGCATGTTATACAACCGATTGGAACCGATCCTAGAACGAGGCCAACCTCCAGATCAAGCTGGGTTCCGGAAGCACTACGGTACAGAGGATCATTTATTCGCACTGACGATGGTACAGGAGAAAGCGCGTGGGGGGGGGCAAATCCTCATTTGGACGGCAACATTGGATCTCAAACAAGCAGTCGATACAGCTTCGCACAACTCTTTGTGGACCGCTATGTCGTCGCAAGGTGTACCCCAAAGCCACGTAACTCTTATTTCAAACGTGTGCCGCGACCAGTGAACAACTGTTAAATCAGACGCTGAAAGCAGGGCGTTTGGTATCAAACGTGGGACCAAACAGGGTGACCTCCTTAGTTCTCTACTCTTCAACTGCTTGTCCGAGGAGATCTTCACATAATGCCGGGAGAAGTGGCGAAACAGAAAATATGGCCCTCGTCTTGGATGCGTCGACGGGGCGCACTTTGCGAATTTACGATTCGCGGGCGATGTGATTCTTATTGGCACGCCCTTCACCCAGATACGCAGAATGCTGGGGGATATTGCAGAAGCTGCCGGACGGGCGGGTCTTGAAGGACATCCACAGAGGATCAAGATTCTGCACAATATCGAAACGCGACGTCCTAAGAAATCGCCGGAGTACACGAAAGTGGGCGACGTCGACATTGAGATTTTACCATGCGCGGGTGACGAAATACTTTGGGCGACAGTTCACTTTTTGCAACCCGGCAAAAGTAGAAATTGATGCACGTATTCAGGTCGGTTGGAAGAAATTTGGGTTATTCAAACAAGACTTTATCTCCCGATCGCGCCCCCTAAAAGACAGGTTTCGGATGTTCAACGGCGCGGTCGCCCCAGCAATTCTCTATGGCTCTGCTACATGGGCGATGGCGGCTTCGTTGGAGCAGCGTGCGCAGTCAACTCAACGCCGGATGCTTCGCATGATATTTGGATCGCCGCGGAGACGAGTCACCGGCGCCGTCGAGGGCGAGAGCGGCTTGGAACCCTGGGTGGATTGGATCAAACGCACAACGCGTATGTCGGAGGATGCTTTCGCAAAGTTTGGATATGGGAGTTGGGTGGACATGCAAAAAAGAAGGAAAGTGGAATGGGCGCAAAAAGTAACCAGTGGCAGCCCAGACAAGTGGAGTTACACAGCTTTTTATTGGGACCTGGAAGTATGCCGGCGCGCAGTCCGACGGCCGCGCGGGCCGCGACGACGGTGGACCGACCAGTTGTAGCTCTGAGGGGCTCCGGCCCCGCCGCCGACCTGTGAAGCTGGCGGTCCCGCTCCCGCGCGGACTGGTATCGGCGCTCGCCTCGCCTCGCCTCGCCACCATTTTGGCGCGTCCCATGCGAGCGTCGTGGCCTCGTGGGGAGCTCCGCCGAAGGCCCCAGTGGCGCCGCCCGCGTGCGTCGCATTTCAGCGCGCTGCTCACGCGTTTCGTGGCTCCATAGGGAGCCCCACCGAAGGTCCTGATGGGGCCGCCCGCGTGCGTCCCATGCATTCATGTCGGCGCGCCCCTCGCGCGTTTCGTGGCCCCATAGGGAGCTACACCGAAGGCGTCCGCATACGTCGCATCCGCTCATTTCGGTGCACCCCTGAGACGCTTCGTGGCTCCATGGGGCCCGCGTGTGTCCCAGCTGCTCATTTCGGAGCACCCCTCATACGTTTGGTGGCCCCATAGGGAGCTCCACCGAAGGCCCCAATGGCGCCGCCTACATGCACCCCAGCCGCTCATCTCCGCGCACCCATCATGTTTCGCGGCCCCATAGGGAGCTGCGCCGAAGGCCCCGGCGGCGCCGCCCACGTGCATCCCGCCCGCCCATCTCGGCACACCCCTCGCATGTTTCGTGGCCCCATAGGGAGCTCCACCGAAGGCCCTGGTGGCGCCGCCCGCGTGCATCCCAGCACTCTCCTCGCATGTTTCGTTGCCCCTTCAAGGAGGCCCTGCCGACGGCCCCAGTGGCGCCGCCCGCGCGCGTCCCAGCCGCTAATTTCGGCGCACCCTTCACATGTTTCGCGGCCCCTTAGGGCCCCCACCGAAGGCCCTGATGGCGCCGCTCGCATGCGTTCCAGCTGCTCATTTCGGCTTGCCGCTCACATGGTTCGTGGCCCCATAAAGAGCTCCACCGAATTCGTCCACGTGCGTCTCGCGCCCATGTCGGCACAGCCTTCGCGCGGTTCGTGCCCCCACAAAGAGCTCCACCGAAGGCCCCGGTGGCTGTGTCCACATGCGTCCCGCGCCCACTTCGGCGCGCCATGGGGCGCTCCACCGAGGGTCCCACGGTTGCGTTCGCATGCGTCCCGCGCCCACTTCGGCACGCCCCATCACACGGTTCGTGGCCCCATAGGGAGTTCCACCGAAAGGTTCAGTGGTTGCGTTCACATGAGTCCCGCGCCCATGTCGGCACGCTCCTCGCACAGTTCGCGGGCCCGAGCGCTGCCGACGGCCCCAGTGATTGCGTCCACGTGCGTCCCGCGTCTATTTCGGCACAGCCCGCGCACGGTTCGGGCCCCATAGAGCGCTCCACCGAAGGCCCCAGTGGCTGCGTCCACATGCGTCCCGTGCCCATTTCGGCACACCCCTCACACGGCTCGGCCCCCATAGAATGCCTTACCGAAGGCTGCAGTGGCTGCGTCCACTTGCGTCCCGTGCCCACTTCGGCACGCCCGTCATATGTTTCGTGGCCCCATAGGGCGCTCCACCGAAGGCCGCAGTGGCTGCGCCCACATGCGTCCGCGCAACAACTTTCCGCGCACCCCTCGCACGTTTCGTGGCCCCATAAGGGGGCTCCACCGACGGCCCCACTGGCGCTGCCCCGCATGCGTCCGCGCTCAGTTCGGCGCGCCCTCACGTGTTTCGGACCGAAGACAGGGTATAGAAAATGAACGCGGACGACGTCGGAGGTCGAGGCGGCAGCTGCGGGGCAACCGGCGCGCGTCGCGCTGACTCCGCGTTGCGCCCTGCCCAGGACCGCGATCACCAGGGCGCGAGAGCACAGAGAGGGAGTCATTTGAGAGCCAACCATCCCGCTCCACCCCCTCGCTCCTGCCTACGCTGCCCCGCGCCTCGTCATTCCTGCTGCGCGCTGCCTATGAGAGCATTTCGGAGATTGTGCGACCCCCTCCGTCGTCGCATGTCCTTCCTGGTACTCGCAGCTGCATATGGTCGGGCCCTTCGTCAGACTAATTCATAGCGTTGGCCCCCAGAGGTGTCGACCAATTTCCCAGGGCCGGTTTTTCATCTTGAATCGTTTTTCCCAACCATCTTGCGGTATTGGGTCTCGTTTGAAAGAAATGGCGCCCCGCGTTCATTCCTCCTCCCGCTGCCCCATCCCGCCTGCATCATCATCGTCGCCACCCCTTCCAGCACACCCCTCAGTCAAAACATGTTTTGACGCTAAATGGGGGCCATGCGACTAGCATCGGCCCCCCCTTTGTTGGATTTTGCCTTCGCGGCGGAGGAGCGCGAGCCCGGATTCACTGGTGCAGAAGTGTCGGCTGCGATCGCCCGCCCCGAAAATAGCGGCAAACTTGATCATGGCGGGCGTTGTGTGCGCATGCAAGATATGGTATACCAGTGCGCTCCTGGCCTCACTATTCGCTACTTTAACGAACCCGTGGCTTCTGGCGTTGCCGCGTCCAGGATTGGTGTTGGCGGGCACGTGAGGGGAAAGGGGACTTCCAATCCCGAGCCCACGCAGCTCCGAGCTATCATGCCCCTCCCGGCTGATCTCGAATCTCTGGATTGTTTGATCGCTCAACGTCTCATCGCATGGATCGACGAGCACGTTGCTGTGCCACAGTGCTGCTGGGTTGGAGCCCGGCCATTCACGCAATCTTTAGACATCGCGCACGCTCTGCACATCGTCATCGAGAGAGGTCTGGACGACCGCAGGCAGTCGGGAATGGCTCAGAGCGATATTGAAACCTATTATGACTCTCTCCCTGTTTTGGGGGTGTTTCAGTGGTGCGTGTCTCGAGGGATGCCGTTGGCGCTCGCGGCTGCAGCGGCGCGCCATCAGTTGCCCCCAGAAGTGAGTTTGCGCGTCGGAGACGTGGATGCGGAGCTTGGCAAGCGATCCCGCGGAAGTTTCACCAGGAACCGGGTGGCTGGTGCTTTGGGCCGCATCTTAGTAGAGGTCACTCCCGGGGAGATGTCGGATGTCTGCCGGCAGCAGGGCTTCCTGTTGGGCGAGTTCCAGCAATTAGCCATTGCCACACACGTTGACAACATTTATTCCGTCAGCGACTCCCTGTATAATGCTGCGTGCTTGTTGGATGTGTTCGAGTCCCATCTTTCTTCTGACTGGGGATTCCGCATCAAGGATCCCAGAAATCATGCATGATTGTTGTATGAGGGGACGCATCCGTTTCAGACCCAGCTGTTTGGAAACCGTCGCAGTCTTTTGAGGCTTTGGGCCACGTCCTGGAAGATACGGGATCGTGCACGATGTGTGTTGATAGGACTATGGCCGCCATGTGGCGTGCGTTTTGGGGCAATTGTGCCATGCGCCGCCTGCGAGTCGTCCCTCTGCGGCAACGTCCTCGCATGCTCGATCGGTCAGTGCTGCCAGTGTTCGACTATCGATGCAGCCATTGGCCGCCCGCCGCAACCCTGGATCGGCGCATCGACACTTGTCAGCGCCGCGTGGTCAGCCTCCTGATGCGGGTGCCGCGACAAGCTGGTGAAGAAACGCCGGCCTACTTCCGCCGCAGAGCCCGGGAAGCCGAGGATCTTTGTAGACAGAGGCGTTGGTGAAGACATCGCCATTGCACTCGAGTTCTGAATTGGCGAGAGCACCTCGAACGACCGCGAAACCGTCGATCTTGGGCGGCGCAGCTCCTGCACTGGCAAGCGAGCGCTGGCTCCAAAACCGGAGGACGCAGCTGAACAGCTACAGCGTTCATGCTGGACGCACGGATACGAGATTGGCAGCGCGTCGCCCACGACAGCGGTGGCACGATGGAGCCAGGTTTGCTTTAGAGCACGTGCTGCCTGGCGCGCACGCTGTTCTTTATCCTCTCTAGTCCGTCCCCCCCTTCCCCCTCGCATGAGCATGAAATCTTTGAGTAGTTCCAGCGTTGCAGCGGGTAGTGCGCCTGCGTTGCACCTTTCTTCACTTAGTGCGTTTTTCGCACGCGGCTTGCGGTGTTACCCCGCCTTCTGATTCTGATTCAGGAACAGGAGCTGGAGCAGGAGCAGGAAGAGGAGGAGGTGGAGGAGCAGGAGGAGGTAGAGGAGGAGGAGAAGGAGCACGAGGAACTTGAGGAGCCTGATGATGAGGAGGAGGATTAGGAGGAGGACGAGGAGGAGGAGGAGGAGGAGGAGGAGGAGGAGGAGGAGGAGGAGGAGGAGGAGGAGGAGGAGGAGGAGGAGGAGGAGGAGGGAGGAGGAGGAGGAGGAGGAGGAGGAAAAGGAGGAGGAAGAGGATGATGCTGAGGGGGAGGGCGCGGCGGCGGTGCAGCAGGCGCATTCCGTATGCGCATCCCACAGTTTTCGGAACGGAGAGCGGCCGCCCGCCGGCACGACATCGGCGAGCCGGCCGCGGGGATCAGGAGGGCTTTTGTGGCAGCCGCCGTGCCGCCGATCCCCTTGCGGAGCTTGCCGGGACACCCCCCTCCACAGACCCCGTCGCGTTGTGAAGAAATCGCGATGGGAGGCCCTTGCCGCGCCTCGGACCCACAAAAAACTACTCGGGACGAGGAACCGGTCCCAGGGACTGCCCGGTGGGGCAAAGCAGATCCAGCAGGACGGTAATCGAATAACCAAAAAAACATAAATGCAAACTTTTGGAGCTCCGCGCGGATTTCTTGGATATGCGCTGGAGCCCCTCTGGCGGCGCGTATCCAGCGCCGATCCAAGAAATCCACGCGCACTTCAAGTGGCTCGGCCATGCCGCCGACCCCCGCAAGGAGTGAGTGTTTGAGGTGATCGAGGAAGTAATATCTTGGGTCAGTTAATCTGAGGGTCTCTTGGGATGCCTCTCTGGGGCCTCGTGGAGAACTTTTGGGGGCATCAGGGAGGCTTTTTGTTGCCTCGTGGGGGCCACTGGGGGACGTCTCGGGGCGTCTTGGGGGCGTCTTGGAGGCGTCTGGGGGCCTCTTGGAGGGGCCTCGGGGGCCTCTGGCGGGCTCGAGGGGCCATCTTGGTGGGAAAGGGTCGGAATGTCAGTTCGTCTTCCCCCTCTTGGGCTTTCTTGGAGCCCTCTTGGGCCCTCCAGGGGCTTTCTTGGGCTGTCTTGGGAGCCCCGGGGCTGTGCTTGGGCCCTCTTGGAATGTTTTGGGGCCTGCTTGGAGCCATTATGGGCCGTCTTGGGACGATCTTGGGGGCCAATTGGGCCGTCTTGTTCGCTGTCAAAACGTACAACAACCAATGTTCTGAAAACCTATTTTATTCCAGGGAATGGGATGATTTTAGCGTGGGGCCCTCTCGGCGATCCTCTGAGGGCGCTTTTGGGCTGTCTTGGGGGCCGCGTGGGCCATCTAGAAGCCATCTTGGATCGTCGTGGGGCTACCCTGGGCCGTTATGATGATCTCTTCGACTGTCTTGGCGCTCCGTCTGGGCCATGTTGGGCTGTGTTCGGGCTTTTGAGGGCTCCAGGGGCCCCAGGGGTGCGTTGACGAGCTGGTGCCCCCCCCCCTCCAAGAATTGCATTTTGGACCCCAGGGGAGGGGGAAAGGGGAAGGTGGACAGCCAAATGTCTCACACGCCTTTTTAATCCCAGCAAGGAATCCGCGCGGACTGTCGACAGTTGATGTTAATGTAGTCTTTTCTTCCACTAGGTATGGGAGAGGTCTGCCTACCCTCTGTCTCCTCCCTGCACGGCAGTCCCGGAAGGAATAGGGAGAGGACCAGAGTAAGTCCAAGACGTGTCAACAATGCTGCAGTACACTCTCCCGTCCAAGAGTCCCCTCCCCATCTGTCGCGTGCCATCACAAGCCTTCCGTTCCCTTTCAAGAGGCGCTGCTCTGATAGAAAGGCCTGCGCCCTCTGGAGGCGATGGCCCCGTTTTGAAGTGGAGCGGAATGTCTGGCATCTTGCAGCGAGGAACGGTGAACGCGCGATGGCACGACCACACGTTTCAAAAAGGTGTCCAACGAGATCACCGTTTTTTAAAAAGACCGTCCCCCGTCTGTGCAGCTCTGGCACGAACGTCATAGAGCTCTCAAGCATGGGCCGCCCTCAATCCGTCCAGTTGTTGGACATGTTCAATCTTCTGGTTCTGAAGCAACAGAAGTCTCAAGCGAACACCCAATTTTGAACAGGAGTTGCCCTTCATAGGTGCAGCAGGTGCAAGCTTTTCAGACGAAAGTGCGCAGGCCTAAGGTGAGAGCTCCACTTTGAAAAGGAACAGCCACCGATCTGTGAAATTGTCACAAACTTTCAAGACGAATATGCTCGGCGCCGAGGCGGACGCCTCAGTTCTAAAAGCACATCCTTGAAACCGTTGCGCACTTTTATTGCAGGAATAGGCGCGGGTAAAGGCGATATTTCTATTTTGAACATGACCCCGTTCTATCCGTGAAACTGTTGCAAATCCCAATCTTCAGGATCATGAATGGTGAAGACGTCTCAGGCGAAGCGACTGGCCCGCACTATGTACCGAATCGCCCGGAAGGTGCGACAGGGAGGAGTTAACCATATGGGAACCAGGGAAGGGGAGGAGGAAAAGGAGGAGGAGGAGGATTCCTGGGAGGAGAGAGGAGGAGGAGGAGGAGGAGGAGGAGAAGGAGAAGGGGAGGAGGAAGGAGGGAAGGAGGAGGAGGGAGGAGGAGGAGGAGGAGGAGGAGGAATGGGAGTGGGAGGAGGAGGAGAGGAGGAGGAGGAGGAGGAGGAGGGAGGAGGAGGCTTCTTCTTCGGGTGAGGAGGATGAGGGGGGGGGAGGAGGAGGAGGAGGAGGAGGAGGAAAAGGAGGAGGAGGAGGATTCTGGGAGCACTAGCCTCCCAGATGCCCCCCCCCCCCCGCCCGCCGCGCACATCGCGAGCCGCCGCGCGGCGGCGGGCGCCCCAAACCAAAAGCTTCGGGGGGGGGAGGCCAGGGGGCCATGCGAGCCCTGCCCCCCCCCCCCGATTTATGAGGGGGGGGGGGGGGGTTCACTTCGTTCGGGGGCTCCGGAACGAAGTGAACCCCACCTTCCCCCTCAGAAATCGCGGGGGGTAGGGGTAGGGCTCGCATGTGGCCCGCTAGTCGCGGCGGCGAGCGGCCGGCGCCGCGGGAGTCGCGCGTGCGCACGTGGTCGTCAACCCCTCCGTCGTTCCTCTGCTTCCTCCTCCCAGTCTCTCCTCCTGCTCTTCCTCCTGCGTCTCTCCTCCTCTTCTCCTCCTCCTTCCTCTCCTCCCTCTCCTCCTCCTCCTCCTCCTCCTCCTCCTCCTCCTCCTCCTCCTCCTCCGCATCCTCCTCCGTCCCCGCGGCGCTGCCACGTGACGAGGCACACATTGCGTTTCAGTGCATTGTGTGCTCAGCGCATTGTACTGCAGTGCGTAGCCTGGCGTTGCATTGCATTGCGTTGCGTTGCGTTGCATTGCGTTTCGCTGCATAACATCTGGGAGACATCCGGGAGGAGGAGGAGGAGGAGGAGGAGGAGGAGGAGGAGGAGGAGGAGGAGGGGGAGGAGGAGGTCATGGAGGGAGCAGAAGGGAGGAAGGTACAGAGAAGAGGAGGGAAGCAGGAGGAGTGAGAAGGGAGGAAGTGGGAGGAGGGGAGGGAGGAGGGAGGGGAGAACCGGCCAACCACCCGGTCAAGTGGGCAACTGGCCACCCAGCCACCCAACCAATCAACCCACCGACCAGACACCAGCCAACTGGCCAACCAACGAACCAACCACCCAACCAACCAACCAGCCAACCAACCAACCCTGTCCGTCGCCTCGGGAAAAAAATTACCCAGAGACCGGTGAGGCTACCAGCCAGCCAACCAGCCAACCAACCCACCAACCAACCAGCCAACCGCCCAAGCAATCAACAACCAATTCACGAATTAACCCACCAACCAACCGCCGCCCAACCAACCAACCAACCAACCAACCAACCAACCAACCAACCAACCAACCACCCTTGGACAAAAAATGCGTGACCTGGATTCCAGCGATCCAACCAGCCAACCAACTCAAGTACCGACAAGTCTTTCCAAAGGATTCTTTGAGGACATCCCACGGTGGGTTCCATAAATAATTGTTTTGACCAGGGAATCATGCCTGCCTTCGAACGAACATTATTGTGGGGACCCGGCAATCAGCGAACCAATCAGCCAACCAACCCACCAACCAACTAGTCCCTCCCTCCTCCCCCCCTCCTCATCCCTCCCTCCTCCTCCCCCTCCTCATCCCTCCTTATCCTTCCTCCTCCTCCCTCCCTCCTCCTCCCCATCCCTTCTCATCTCTGCTCTCCTCCCGCCCTCCCCCTCTCCTCTTCTCACTTCGCCGCTCTCCTTGCCCTCCTCTCCATCTTCCTCCCCATTCCATCCTCTGCATCCTCCCCCTCCGTGGCCTCCACATGCTCCACACGTGCAACCAGCTGCGCGTGTTACCAACTTCCAAGTAAGAGGCAGGGGGTCGAGAGACAAACGAGCAGGCCATACCATTCCCTCCCTCCTCCTCCTCCTCCAAAAGGTAATCACAACGATGCTACAGCGAAGCAGCTGGGCTGTATTGCAATGGCCTTAAGGCTGGCGCCGCCGACCCTTGAGGGGGATGACGACGACGGCGACGAAGAAACACATTTGAACATGTAAGGGAAATCGGTGATGTTGCCCTCTTGTGATTCTCTTGGGAGTGCTCTTGGGGCTCTCTTGGGTCTCTTGGGGGCTTCTTGGGCGCTTCTAGGGCCCCCTGGGGGCCTTGGGGCCGAAAGCTTGACATGTCGTTGGGTGTTTTCCCTCTCGGGAGCTTCCTGTGGCTCTCTGAGGGCCCTCTTCGTCCTTTTTGAAGGTTTCTTGGGCCGTCTTGGGCCGATTTGGGGGCGCTTTGGCAGCTTCGTTCTTCGCGCGCCTCGGCCGCCCCGCCAAACGATTCGCTGAACGCGCCGGTCCAGGGGAGGCAAGAGGGGAAGGGGTGCGTCCCAGCCTGATGGGGATGAAGGGGGTTCGACGAGGGGGCTCGCTAAACCACTTGTCGCCCCAACGGGCTGGTTGATATTTCTCATCCCTCGGATCCCTCCCACCTAGGCCTTCCAGGGTGCTCCTATGGGCTTTTTGCG